TTGAAATACATCATTTTCATGATCTATCACGAAGTTTCACGAAATTTCCACTAGAGATTCTAACTTTTTCTTGTTTTTATTTATCGTTGGGTTTGATGAGTTACGGAACATGATTTAATCCTCGTCATTCGTTCTATTGAATCATAAGAGAGAGAAGTTGTAGTTATACATAATCGTAAGTTGAGTGTTAATCATATTTAATAACTTGTCGTACTACATAGTTCAAGATTTTTCATTTGTAAATATGAGAGTTGAAAGATTTCATACACTGGTCATCAACTTATAAACATATTTCCTTCGTTAACAAAAATGTTTTACTCATCTTGCAATTGTTGAATATTATGAAGTGTTATGTGTTAATAGTATCGTAAATTCTTCTTCAATTATCTTTTGTATCTATCGAAAAAATACTGAGATTTTTAATATATTAGATTAGTATCGATTAAATTCTTTCTCCATCAAAAAAATTTTTGTTTTCCATTAGAAATAGTATTTTATCTATAATGGAATTTTTATTACAGATGAGACAAAATCTACTGTTTATTAGAGTATGGTGTGGATGTAGACTATGAGTAGAATAGAGGTCTTGCCCTCACTCACATACCCATCTCACCATCATCCACACATAAGGAACCATGACCATAACTTTGGCATGATATGTACTTCTATGAGCAATATGATATATCCGCGTATACGCCATCTAATGAAGTTTGATAAATAGTGCAAAAATCAGTTTTTTCAAGCAAACTATTTACGTGAACAAACATCTTTTAATAAAGACTCAATATAAAAGTGGTCATTTTTTTTATTACACACTAGACAGTTAGGGCTAGATCATAATAGAGTATGATTTTTGAGTTCCTCTTTTGCTGAAATAAAAACCTAAATCTTTGGTTTTAATTAGCAATTTTTTTAGCCACGAATTTGAGAATTTGTCGAAATTCTTTTTTAAAAAATAAACAATGGAGAATTCAAACATCGGGCTCTATTACGACCTAACCCGAAGCGTACTCTACCATCTAAAACTACCCGGACATATTAGCTCGCATCCTTATTTTGAAAACCTTGCTCGTGTAAAGGGCACTCTTACCCAATGAGTTGACTATAACTCGTGAGTATCCTGGAGATTTTGGTTGAAATTGGATGAAAGATGAAAAAGTTCACTTCTAAGGAAGGTTTCCTTAAAGTCCCAGCAAATAAATTATAGCTTGTCCTCATTTTATTTTGTCTTGCTTTGAGAAAGGTTTTAACGTGCGAATGTCTACTTTATTTCTTAGAGAAAATGATAGATCATCCTGGTTGAGCAACAGACAGCTGAGTCGAATCTTCACCGTCATGTCCAACAATGCTACAAAGAGAACGTCCCATCTTTTAATGAATAAATCATTTACTTCCAGATAGTCTACTTCTAAAGATATTGAGGCTATTTGTTTGAAAATGAATAAGCGCATATATTCTCTTCAATACATTGACATCCAGTACAATATTGGCTTTGCAATGACAATGTGTTGTGAGAAATATTTGATAATATATTGTCTTTGAAAGTTGCACATCTAGGAAAAAGAGATTCTGTCAAATGTCGATAAACCATGAACACTGTCCTCAATAACAATTATATGCACTTTTGAAGAGAATCAAAACAGTTTTGCCGTCATTCAACGAAAAGCAGCTCAGATAAATGAAAAATAGCGAGAGCACTACTAAATGTGCATGAATCATCAGATTCTAATGCAAGTCAGATGTCATTCTTCCTTCCTTACAATGTTATCTTTCTCTTATGTTGGTATTTACCAAGACTGTTCCTCTTTCTCCTTACCAAACATTGAAAATTCGTTGAGAAGAACAGAACCACACGATAGAGGTAACTGGAAGAAAAAAAAACAATATTTTTCTCGTCCACCCTTTTTTCATTATTCTTTTTTTTCTGCTTTGTACAGAACACGATACTGTGCATACACAACCACACTATGTTTTTCTTGTTTTCTTTGCTTTTGCTTTCTCCAATGATTATTGCTAACTGCAATGAGTCTCAAAAAAGGTGTCGATGAAGACAAAAGCTCTTCAAAAATGGCGCCTACGACATCATATAAAATCCATCAGTCGTCGATATTTTTCTTGATTAAAAGCTTAATTAAAAAAAATATGAAGACGTATTGGCAATGACTCACTGGTCCTTAGCTTCTATTTTAATTTTTCAAATAAGTAGTTCATAACTTCGAAAAATATTCGAATTCGAATGAACATGATCATTCAGGTAGGAAAATAAGGCTGAGATACGATTGGATCAAAAATTCTGTCTTCGATTTGCCTCATTTTACTTCAACTAAACTTTAATTCATAGCACTGTAGCTATTCAAATTAGAAGATTACTAGTGTAAAGTATTTTTCTTAGATGTTTCGGTTTCAGAACTTTGAACTGCAAAAAACTTTCAAATTTTGAATGAAATTGAAATTCCAATGTGCAAAGAGACTACCTTTTCTCTTCCTTCCAATGTAGTCATATACTCCTATTTCAGCACGTGTCAGAGATTTTGACATGATGTTACTTTGACCTAGCCAAGAATGATGATTTATATATCGAGATTTTCATGTACCATAAAAATTGCTCCACCGTGTTTCGCATGTTAATTTCATAGGGTTTATGCTGGATGTTTTTCTTTTCGAAACGGTCAATAGTCCATTGTTGTGAGGCGATTATTGAGTTTCTTGAGTAATTAGTGGAGTCGATACTATTCTACGTATGATTTTTGAGTCATCTTCACAGTTTTATGTAGGGTTGGTAGCGATTTGAAAATAATTGTCTTTTTTCGATATAATCAACGTGAACGATTGCATTAAAATGATATCAAGAAGCTCAGCTGCTAATTATTGATTAATTTCTCTTTAAAAAATATTTTATTGACAAAACACAATCTAGTTGGTATACATAGAATCAGAAAATTGTTTACTTCGAAGAATTTGTCAGCAGCATCCAACATTAAGTAAACTTTTCCATGTAATTTTTTATACAATTTCAGATTCAAACTATTGCTTATTAGCAGCCAGAAAATGACCAGTGCTGCTGGTGGAACGACAACAAAACAAGCCTTTGGTCGACATGGATTTATTGGCAGTTTATATGATATTCGTAGTGATCGATTTGAAGGTGGAAATTTATTCAACCGACCATTGCCACCATCAATAGTTTTAACAACTGATTCTGCCAACTCAGATTATATTGTTGATGAGAACCTGTCTCAAAAAGAGACATTCAATAAACTCAATATTGAAGCATCCATGAAATTAAGTCTGTTGGCTGGTCTACTTAAAGTTGAAGGTTCGGCGAAATATTTAAATCAAACAAAAACCGATAGTCGAACAGTTCGAGTTACATTTATGCTAAATTTCAAAACAAAACAAGAACATTTACAGATAAGTAGTGCTGATTTATACAATTATTTTTCATCCGATGCCTTAGAAAATCGAAACGCAACACATTGTGTTATTGGTATTATATGGGGAGCACGAGTTGCAGCAACATTTGAACAAATTCTATCCAGTTCTGAAGCAGCCGAAGAGCTTCAGGGTCGTCTAGCAGTGTCATTAAAAAAAGTCGCCATTGAAGCAAGTGGTGAAGGTGGATTGGAACATACGCATAACGAAAATTCTAAATTTGAATCATTGAAAATTAACTTTTCTGGTGATATTTTGATAGAAGATGTTCCACATACCATCGATGATGTTTTCAATATATTTAAAAAGGTACCATCTCTATTAAAAAAGTTAAATGATGGAAAAGGACAACAGCTGGAATTTGAATTATATCCATTGCAACGAATGGCAGAAATTTTCAAACATGAATTACGCATTCAACGGTGAATAGCATATTTACGTATAACAGATAGATAGAAAGTTTTAAGACAAAATGTTTGTTGACTTTTTTTGCCCATATGAAAGTATTTCAGAACGATGAAAACTATTTTTTTCATTATAACCAGAATTTGATGTTCTTTACACCAGTGATATTATAAGTATTTTCTCAGGCGCTACTTTCTACATTTAAAGAAGCTGGAACAGTACATCTTGTAGAGCAGGTGTTGTCCTATACGCTGACATATGAATGAAGATTGAAATTTAGACTTTGGATATCAAAGATAAAGATGCTAAAATTCACGGAAAAAATTCTTCATTTAAACAATTTCTTTAAAAGCTTTTCAAAGATTTCTTTACTACTCCCCAACAAAGGTTGACAAATCATTTCTGAGCCCATGTTTGCGAAGAGTATCCAGTTCTGATTCTAACCCATCGTTTTTGACATTTCTAACAAACTTTTACATTAGTGAAGAGTAAGCAAACGTTCTTTTTCTGGAAACTTGCAGCATATCTTTGAGATAGTCGTCAACCGCATGTAATTCTTCTTATCTTACTTGTCATAAATGTTTCAATCGATGGAACTGAAATTGTTAACTAATAATAAAATTTCATGAATTATCCTCTAGAAAATCAAGATTAACTCTTTTAACATTTCGATCTTTAAGGCTTTGCGCATTTGAACACTGTTCAAATCTTCAAGTGTCTGTATACCAGTTGTTCCATACAGCATCTAATTCGAGAGTTTAATATGATACTTGTTAACATTTAACGGTCAAGTTTAATAATAATTTTAAAGTGAATAAGGCGTGACTTTCGTCCGATAAACTGTTACCGATAACGAACCCTTACATAACTCATCCATAAATCGCAAAATAAAACATTTTCTCGCACGTATAACTAGATTCCCATTTTCTTATTGGATAGACTGTTTTTTCTTATCGATAGAAGAATGTTCAATGGTTTTCATTCATGAAAGAAACATCAATGAATCCTATGTTAAGCGATTACAGTTGACTTCGGCAAGAATATTGCGACATTCAATGGATTTTGACGAACATCATATATGTACATGTCATACTTTCAATAGGACTACATAGTGATATTGCTGTATGATTTTAAAACGTCTAATTTGATAGACTTTGATGAATGTCTAAGTTCTACTTCATTACTGTAGTCACAGCAGATCTCAAGGATTCCAATCGCCAAAAATTTCCCATTTCTACTCATGGAATCAAAGAAGTTTTCTTATGTTCTATAGTATGATCTCCAAAATTTTTTGTTACTTGCTATAGATATATATATGTATATTATCGGGTTCGAACATCTGAGCCAGCCGTTGTTCACGTTTCAAAATAATTTTTCAAACTATGTATCGATGGTATATTTTCAAAAGTTGCTAAAGATTTACATTTGTTTATTGCACTTAATAGTAAGAGTTAAACGTAGCGTGTATTCACATGTCTCTATGAAATAAATTTGGAATAATCTTCTATCGAGACAAAAAATAAGTTCATTCTATAAGACAAAAGCGAAAATATCCTAAGTTCTGTGATGATTGTTTTCTACGTATTTTAGAATGATCAAAGAAGTAAGCAACAGCGTAGTGACTCGTATTGAAAATATTTTTGAACAAATCATTCAAGGAAAACGAATGATGAATGATTTTCTTGGCACAATTGAACCGTGGAAAAATTGGATTTTGTCGGATTGGATTGAAATAATATATGTTCGACAACAACAGTTGGCAGGTGTCGAATTAGAAACACAACGTCAACTTGCCTCATTACTTGAAAATATTCGTCGCGGTGAGACTGATGAAAAAACAATGGTTGACTTATTGGATAAATTCGAAGAGGAAAATCCATGTTCTGTTATGTCAATTAAAAATTTTCTCAAATCGAATGCATATATAATGAGTAAAATTGAATCTTTAAGTGAATTTGATCAACAAGTGCTAGATGAAATACATGAAAAAACACCTAAAACACCAAATCCAACAATTCTCTTAAAGAATTTAAAATCGATCGATGATTTTGTTCAAAAATATTATGATAATGATATTTATTTATTACATATTTCAAATGAATGGGAAGAGAAAAATCGAGTGAATTGGTACAAACAATTGCGATGCTTCACATATTTGTACAAGCTTGGACAGAAGAGTGAAGTGAAAAAAGATATTTTTCGCGTGATCGATCATGATTTACACGTCGGTTTGGATCACAAACCTGACACTTGTGTTATTTATCATGCTCATCGAGGCATTATTACGACAAAAGATTATTATCATATGTCGTTAAGTAAGTCATATAAAAGAACTAGTAGTTAATATTAAAGAAATGAAACATTGGAATAAATATGTATTTTCTTGTTTAGCACAATTATCGTTGCAACAAATACGAGATATTAAGATAGAAAATAAATTTTTAACATTGAGCAATACAGACATCGAAAAATGGCATAAAGAATTCATTGAATCACAGTAAACGACTAGATGCTTTCGAAAATTTCACGGCTTCATTACTATTTTCATCTTTATTTTAGTCCTAGTGGAGAATTGAACGAAAATGAATGGGTTGCTGAATTTCAAAAGCTCTATCCAAAGTAAGTGATTCGAAGAAAGTCGAATGTTATTCAAATTGTATGACCTCTCCTTATGATTTATTCAGAGGTGACCCACGACATTTCTGTAACCTTTCATTTCCAATTATCGATAGAGATCATAATGGTTTCATAAGTTTTGTCGAATTCATGTCAGCAATTTCTTTAGCATTACCCAGCGATATGGAAAAAAAAGTAACATTGGTATGTATATTTTTTTGAATTCAAAGACATTCGATTATTTCTCTGTTTTTCGATATTGAAAGGTTTTTGCAATATGTGCTCATAATAATGACGAAGTGGATAGAGAAGCATTGATTCAATTTTTGGAAGCGGTAATTCAATTGGAAGATCGAACAGACTCAACTGATACGAACGTGACAAAATCAATTGTGAACAATATCATGAAATTTCACAATCGAAAGAACAATGAAAAGATAACAAGAGAAGAATTCATCAGTTGGTACGTTATTTCTAGAGTAAAGCTTTCTTGACAATGAATAATTCATCTACCTTTTTAGTTTGAAGGCAAATTACGAATGGTGTATGGCATTCTTGCCGACCTTACCAAGTGAGCACTAGGAAGAGCGTCATGTTGAATTTTCAAGAGGCTCTACATATATATGAGTCTTAACATTGAAATTGTCGAATAGTGATCGATTATTATTTTTGAATAGCTGGCTGCAGTTACATATTTTTTCTACGCTGGAAATAGATCTATGTTAAACTAGATGAATCAAACTTTGTCTTAAGTTAGCTATTTGAGGCAGGATGGACTGATTCAGTTGTTGGTATTGTCTCTGTTTAAGAATAACGCGTGTTAGATCGTCGTGCTGTTATGATGGAATCATTCTGTTTACTTGTAGATAAGACATGTCTTTTTTGATTTTATTTTCAGAATTTTCAGTATAGCTGCAAAGCGGGCTAAAATGATTCGGTCCTAAAAAACTACAAAAGAAGCTGACTTTAGATTTTCAGATTTCGTTGAAATTTTTGAACGTGTTAAACTTGCTTGATCTTTTGAGATTCAGAAATTCAAAAATCTCGAAGGTTAAAAAAATCATAAATCAAAATAAAATTCAAAAATGTTAAATGCATTTAGACCAGAAAGAAATGAGAAGTAGGATTATTTGTAACAGAAGGATGCACGAAAGGAGACAAGCTTAGAAGAAAGTTCTGAGATACGAAGTTCCTCATAGTATTTTAGAGTGAGTTCGAAATAACACAAACAAAAAATAGAAAACTTATGTGATAAGTTAAATATCGGAACTCCTATTTTGTTCTGCATAGCATTGTCGATTTCATCACATTATCAACGCAATGAAAATGCGGCAAAGCCGCTGTGTAAATGGGGATCACAGTGTCGACAACGTAGAGATCATTCACATTGCAAACTCTTTTACCATCCTGCTAATCAACGAGATGAAAGCGACCAAGAAGAAAACGTTGACCGTACGCCATGTGGATGGGGCTCTGATTGTACCGATCAAAGTCGTGAACATCGAGCAAAATTTTCACATTCCCGAGATGGCAAACAACAAGATCATAAGCGCAAGCGTTGTTTTAACGGTGTAAATTGTCTTCTACAATTTTCAGAAAAAGGAACCAATCACAATTTAAAATACTCACATCCATGTCGATTTGCTGAACTCTGTCGACATCCAGAGGAACACTTGACGCACGAGCCCCATCAAGTACCCAATTGTAAATTCGACAAGAACTGTAGAAATTTAGATGATCCAATTCATCGATCTCGGTATCGTCATACAGACTTACCGTATTTTCTTATACCATGTCGTGATCAACATCGGTGTCACAAAACATCGAACGAACACCTAATCAAATTTTCGCATGGTGAAGAAGTTTTTGAAACGAAAGAAAGAACACAGAATAGTGATCATAATCAACGAAAGCCCTGCAAATGGGGCTCGCAATGCCGTGATATTGCAGATGCAACACATCGTAAAGAATATTCTCATTCATCGAAGACTCAACATGAGAACGATCATCGTATTCCTTGTCAATGGAAGGCGCAATGCCATGATCACAGCAATCATCATCGAGCAAAATTTTCGCATCCATCGACTTGAAAACATATTGAAATGTGATGAAGTCAGTTGAATAATAGCGATGGAGGACTAAGAAAAAAAAACTGCCGATACTCTAGTATAAAAAAATATGTTTGTGTTCTTTTCAATCTATGATAAATGTTTTGTCTATCATTCTTTGTATTGTTTACAAAATATTCTAACTAGAATTATCATCGTTCTAGAAACTCAACAAGAATAACCGAGTAATAATAATTAGTAGGTCGCAACCTAATTCACTAGCTCATGCCGTCAATAGTATTACACTTGAAAGTTGAATTCAATTGAACAACTATTCTTCAAGTTTCCAGTTTCAATCGTCTATATGTACGTAATATCTTAATATTTTTCTCATATCCTTACAAATTATAAAAGCATTATAAACATTCAAATCACGATCTATTCTCGCTCGAACTTGGTTAACTTGGCTTTAATTCTAACTTCTGTCTGAAATCGGTAAATGATTTTCCATGACACTTTCATTGAGAGAGATAGCGTGTGTGTTTGAATATTGAAATTTGAAGCTCGAATTGAATTAAACTTCCAGATTTGACATATATGGAATTTCTTAGATATAATTATTATTTTTTTTAACTATGTTGATATCTACTAACTTTCTTCCTTTCGATTGATCTTCTCGAATCATTCAACTATATCGCTCCATTAGAAGTCATAGAGGATGGAGTAAATATGATTGGTCACGTACATCGTTCGTCTCGGAAAGAAAACTATTGTATGATAGATAACATAAAAAACAATTGTCTTTAAATGCATTCTGTTCAAAATCTATAAAATACCTCGGAAATATATTCAAAAGTATTCGGAAAACAATGGTTTTGAGCTTTCTGAAAAATGAAGCTTATTAGACAGACGTTGGTGATGTAGAAGAATATATGGCTGCTTTCAACAACTTAGATTAGATTATCGAGAGTTGAATGTCGACAAAAATAGTTGCGCAATGTCGAACAGTATATTGGGTTGACTGAACTATGGTATATAATATAGAGTAACATGACACTTACTATTATTTATTATACGTGGAACAAATATGGTACATTGAGTCGACACGTTTATAAAAAGAATACATTAAAAAAATACCTGAAAGTGTTATTATATAAAATACTTACAGTTATTCAAGATTAATAAAGAATCTTGCGTCTAAGAACAAGTCGATAAATAGATCAAAAAAGAAAATTTCTTTTTTTATATTGTGGTATATAACACGTACATAGTTATATCGATAATACAGATTGTTTGATATGCAATTAAGTCGATAAAGAATAAGAAGAAACATGTTCCATGATATTCTCATATATATGTATATCATCTAGAGAGTAACCTGAATACATTTGATATAAAATTCGTCGTAAACTATTGGATTTAGATTTTAAAATGAATGAAAAACAATTGAATAATAGACGAATACGTATAGGTAATACAAAAATTATATTAAAAACAATGTTATTTAGTGTAGTTTCTTTTTATTTTTACGAGAAGAAGCTCGTAAATTACTAATGCATCTTACACAAAAAAACGAGAAACATTTTTTGAAGATGTGAAAAAAGAATTTTTATGGAGTAAGTCAGTATTTTCAAACCTACCATTGAAAAATTCATTTTTATTTGATGTACAAATTTGATATCCTTCATTTGAATCCGCTCGTCATATCGATGAATTCATACGCATTGTCAGAACTATTCTTGATTTATTAAGTGATAGTGAAATAGATTATACATTGATATATAGTGAAATTATCCACTTGACAATATTGATGAAAAATAGTTCATTAAAAAAAAAATGAAGATTGTTTCGATAATGACAATGTATTATTGGAATGATATTTTGGCAATGACAACGCCGGATAGGTCTTTGCAAAAATCCTACTTTAACTTAACTTGTTAAAATATTTTTGTTATTTGTCGTGATAACGGTGATATTGAACGTGATTTTTCAATAAGTTGGTCGATATTAACTGATACATCAATTAATGACTTATGATCAACATATGATGGTATTAAATTTCTTGATAATGAATCTAGTCATAAAATATGTATCATTCTAATCCTACTCTAACTTAACAGATGCTGTTTTGTTTTTTAAGTTTAGGTACACATAAACAAAGAAATTATTATACCAATTCAAAGTTCGCAGCTGCTGTTCAAACAAAATCTGAATTCTAAGAAAACAGCAATAAAACGTCTAGAAAAAGAAAATCGCGTACGTGCACATGTGAATAAAGTTAGCCAGCAATTTCTCGAGAGGAGAACAAGAAGAAAAGAAGATGTTTCCATGAAATAAAAAGATTTACACCGTTAATTACATGAAGTCAGCTCGATTATTACGGTTGTTGGTGAACGTTTACCATATGCAAGAAAAAAGAATCAAAATAGTATTCATATAGATAGAGTTAATATTTTAATTGATAATGTTAATGCCAAAAGTAAAACGATTAGTGAACAATCGTTGAAAGTAATGAAGGCTTTGATTATAATTAGTTCAATGACAACAAAACAAACGATAGAAAATGGCAACTGATCCATTGATTAGTTTTAAATCAAAAAAAGTATTTTATCATGTTTTTATATTTGTGAATATTTTAATTACATACTTTCAGTTCTGTCAGATAGTATGATAGTAATTAGAAAAGATATAGTTTATGTATACAATATCAACCCAAAAATAATTTTTTTTTGTGATTTTTATTCAATTTGGTTTTTTTTATAATTATGTGGATGTGCATGTATAGAACAGTTGGCAAATAAATCGAACACATTTCACTTTTATTTTTATTTCTTCAGAAGGAACTTTGTTGTGTCATTCTTTTAGAAAATTAAACAGTACTTTTTATTTATTCCATGCAATTGTATGTAGTTAATAACAGTTCACAATCTATAGTGCTGTCGCAGGTATTTTTTTAGACCTAAAAAATGTCTCCTATCTGAAATAAGTATCCTATATATCTCCTACATAGATCAAGAAAATCTTATATAAATGATGTTTTTGATACTCTACACATTACTATATTGTTATGAACGGCCACTGCGAAACTAACTCATACTATAAAATATCATCTTCAGCCTCAGCTTGACCCCAAATTACAGACGCAGCCAAAGCTAGACCTCACTCTCACAGGAAGCTTGATTTCGAATTCTGGAACTTTAAAAATAAATTGGAGAACTCTATGAGCTGCTATTTTGTCTGAGGGAGGAAGTTTTATCAATAGAATTTTTATTTTTCGAATTATTTTTTGATGATAATCGTTTTCTAATCGACTTCAATATGATTTTTCGGCAACTTTTTTCACATGAGCAACATCCACACTCATGCCCACAGTCTCATTAGCTACCATTGAATAGATGTCGTATTCATTCAACACTCGAAAGAACTTGCTTGTCTTTTTTTGCACAAATTAATTTTTTTCATTTAAAACTAATCAATTCATATTTTGATCTTATTCTATTTTTATTGATAATCATGTCCATTGTTCCTAAGCAACATTAAAAACCTATGACAGCCTCATGGTTGACAAATATTCTCTACTTGTTTTCGCTTCACGTCAATCAACTTAACAAAAAATGGATGCAAAACCAATTGATGATCCTCCACATTCAACAGAAAAATATGATGAAGGTGCATTATTACCTGAACAACAAAAAAAAATCAATGAATTAAAAGTAGTTTTTCAATTATCTCATTCTATTTTCATTTAATTTCTTATTTTATGTAGATCCAAAAACGTATTGAACATGAACGTTATCTTCAAAAACATCCAGAATTAAATATTTTAATACGAGATTTTATTCGGCAAACTTGTTTACAAACACCTGAAGATATTCGTCAATTTGCAGCTAGTATGTCTTCTTTTTTTTTTTATTGTTTTTGTTAAGATTAATTTTTTTTCTGTAAAGGTTATTTCACTCATCCAATGCTTGAAAAACGTATTGAAAATTTAATTAATGAACAAATAGAAACTATCAATTCAGATACAAAAGTTATTTCTGAAGAAATATTTCAACGTTAAATAAACAAAAGAATAATGTTTGCTTAGTATTTTTTTCAATATACATATATACATATTTTAATTTTTAAACATGTCTGAAAGTAATTTTGACATACATATTTTACCAATTGTATGTGAAAAATAAGTTTTTTCAATGAATATTGATGGTATACTACGAAGTAATGGTAATGTTAAAAGCAATCGACCAAAACTAAATATGAAAAAAGCTTTTTTTCGTTTGAATTATGAAAAAAAATTAAGTACCGTGCTGGTTGTGTCGGATTACGAATTTGTATAAATTGTGCTAATGTTATTTGTGCTTGATCTTGTAAATTTTCAATTAATTTAATTTCACTCAATGTTTGAATATCTATAAAAAGGAAATTGTTCATAAAAAAAAAAGAACTAAATTTATTCTACCAAATCGAAATAAAACAATGGTTTTTAGACAAGCAAATTCAATGGGATCAAGTTTTAATTGTTTAAAAGTATAAAAGAGATCATTAATTAATTTTTCATTTTCATTTTCACAATGAAGTACATTACAAAAAATTGGACCTCCGTTATCCAATGATGTGGAACATTGTATTGCCCCAAGAAGAAATAATTCTGACCATGATTCTTCCAATAAAATCAACTAAATAGGAAAAAAATTCACTATTCATATTTAATGCAAATCTATATGATAAGTGGAATAGAAGTTATTCGAGAATAATGAAATATAATAGAAAAGCTGAGATCTAATCATTTTTATTACTATGATTGATGTAGAATATTGCAAAAGCCATTTTTATCAGATTAGATGTGTTTTTCTAGAATTGACAACTTCAAGAATAGTCATTCATTCTTTCGCTAATTGTATTCATTCAATGACCCAAACTCAAGTTTGTACAAATCGAAAATTTATAAATGAGAATTCTTTATTATCATTTCGAAAAAAATTCGGAATACAGTTATTGCATAAGCGGTGAAGCTCTTAGGCTTGAGGAGGCTCAACTCAGTCTATGTTTATCAAAAGACTGAATAAATGGTTTTTGTGTCACCAAGAAAGTGAAAATTTGAATGTTTTTAGTGACAATCACTATTACAAATTCTGAGATAAATCTAGGCTTATGTTGAACAAAAGTATAATGGATGAGCGTACGAACAACATCCAGCAATCAGTTTTTTTTGACCAATGTCTTATAAAATATTAGGAAGTTTGGCAATATCACAACGTAAGGTAGGTTAAAAAATCTTGCTTAAAGTCTTTTTGTACACAAATCGTTACTGAATCATGTACTACGTGTTGCACAGCAGACAAGAACTTTACCGAATATCTCTTAGCTCTTTCAAGGCTGAGATAGTCGCATTGTTTGTCGAAGAGTGGCTCGGGTTTAATAGACATTTTAGTTTATTTTGTTCGACATTCTAGTGTAAAGGTTCCATTTGTCATGAAATTGAAAAAATGTTAACAATACTTCTAAGTCAGAGGTGGATCTAGGATTTCGAAGAGAAGAGGACGATTATAGGCAGAAGACACTGCGAATTTATTCAAAGTAATGTAAACTCGTTTTTTGTTCATTTTTGCTTGGAAAAATCGACAAAATTCCTTGAAGGCAAGAAACCGTCCCCTCCTTCTAAATTTGCCATTATCTGCAAGTGGTTCCCTGAGAAAAACTAAAGAATTGTAAAAGTAAACTACTACCATTTTTTTCGTTCCCTTGTCAACATTTGAAAATTTTTTTATGAGCCTTCCCTAAATTGACTTTGCTCTGCCGCCTACGAGTTATTTGATGATTATATATTTGTATCGTCTTTGTTTTTTTTATTGAAATATGTCTTGTTCTATCAGTATTTTATTCAAAAAAATTGTTACTCATAAAGCTTTTTTCTTTTCTTCAATCTCACTTGCGTTCATATTCGAACTTTCAAATTTACCACACATGATTGAACTTAATTCAGTATAACACGTGACAATTATCATATAGAATATAAAAGGTTTTCGTAAACTTAAAAATTCAATTCATGTTGTAGAAAATTTTTTATTCGCATGGCTTTCATTAAACAATACAGATCGTTATGTTTAGTTTGGAAAGGCTTTAGTTTCAAACCAAAAGAAACCGGAAAGTTGGAAAGTATCCAAAAAAATGTCAAAGTTTGGAATCTTCCTGGGCAAAGCAGAAAAACTGGTAGTCCTGCTTCAACTTCGCATATAAATATGCTGTTCACAGACGAACATGTTTTAAACATTATTCAAAAAAAAAAAGCAACTGCAGAAGCAGATGTAGAGTGATATGAATCACTGTCCGAGTTGGATCGGATCACAAAGATTTGACCCATATCAGATACTGACATTGATGATCAGAATTCGATAACATTCACGCGTGAGTGCTACTTTTGATAACGTCATAAATACCATCAATCAATTGTTCATGAAGATTCATAGTCAGACGAAGAAAAATTAAAATATTTCTTTCTAATAGTATGCGTAGATTGATTAAGGAAATCAAAAAATAATTCAAAAAAACTGATCATGCCGCCTGCAAATAATCCACTAGTCGCTTCGTTCCTCTTCTATTTGTTTTTGAAGATTAACAATGATTCTGTTTTTGAAAAAAATCAATTCATCTAATTTATTTGCTTTGCTTTCATATCACATTGTTTACTTATTTGATATATGCATAGATGTACGTTTCATATAACATGCTATACAGGATTAGATATTATTTGACAACGTTTGAACTTGTTTCTTTAGATAAAAAATAAACAACTACCTGATCACAAACCGGTAAACTTAAAAATGTTGGTAAATTACGTATCCAATTGATAATCATCAAAAGAATTTGAGATGATATTGTATAAATTGTATCATCTAGATTATTAGACAAATCTTATTCATCTATTGCAAAAAAAATACATTTTTTTTTATTACCGTCTTGTTTTGTCATAGGTGTTATGCTACTTTCATTAGGTGATGAATCGGATGTGAAATTTGTTTGTTGAAAAGGACGACGATGCATAGCAGATATTGTTGTTCCGGTATGTTCATAATGATAATCAAATAAATTCATGCGAATTTGAGTATCACTACGTGATTGACGTTCATTTTGTACAGCTGAATATTTTTGAAATATTTTATTTCAAATGAAGAATAAAATAATGCTTTACCTTCTTTTATCATTCCCATTTGTAAACACTAAAACAAGAAAAAAAAGAATATCTAATCTATGTAAATAAATCAGTAAGATGATTAGAAGTAACGAATAGACCGACAATTTTTTTTTTCAAAAAAATCTTTCGTGAAAGCAAAAAAAATATAATACTTTTAATAAAATTTATATATTCTACCTTTTTAAGTCTACATGCTTGACATTGATTTCGATGAGCTTTATCAATAATACATCTACCTGTATTTGCTTGACATCTAAAATGTTAAATTAAAAGTAATTTTATTTAAGTTTTTAGAAAAACAAAATTTTACCGATAAATTAATTTTCGTCTAACACTTCGTTTAAAAAATCCACTACAACCATTACATGCTAATATACCATAATGTTTACCATTTGAAATATCTCCACAAACATCACAAATTAAATTATTATTTATTGAAGTTCTATTGATTTCTGTATATTTAGCAAAATAAGCATGAGGTGAAATTGGATAAGGTTGAGCAAGATTAAATCGATGATGATTCGTATATGAATGAGATCGAAACATTTTTGATGATGATAAACATATTGAAAGAATACTAAATGGATTTTCAGTATTCAAATCTTCTTTAGGATGTATTAAAGAATTATAAGAATTCAATGAGGATTCTTGTTTATCATTATTGTTACTATTATCATCATCGATAATGAGACCTGGTAATGAATTATCTAATATTCAACAAAAAAAAGAGAATTGTCAAATAAATGTAATTAATTCAAGGGAAAACGACGTGCTCCCGCAAATGCTAGGGTATAGAAAGTACAAGAGTACAGTGGAAGTACATGAAGTACGAAAGTATGTTGTTATCTTCTTGGATTTAGGTCTAGATTTTTCTTAGTTATAGAACTGTACTCCTATTGTACTCTTGTGCTTCGAGAAGCATGGAAGAACATCATTTCCTCCTTAAATTAATTTTATATAATGAAAAGTAGGTTTACGATTGATTGACAAGTTTAGCAATGCTAATCTTCCAATATAGAATAAACTCAGCATGATGTCTTCATTCATCGATTATTCATACGAAAGAAATAGATGAAAATCATGAGAATCAAATTTATTCTAGTCTTTCCATATGCCTTGATAGGTTTTAACTATTAGGACTAGGTTTCTTTTTCAGTTATTCACTTGTTTCATGATCATGATTAGACACTTATATTTATGCTTTCAAAGATTTCTTACCATTATTCACTGGTGATTGTTTATTTTCAGTAATATTCATAATTGAAATCAAAAATTGTTGTGAATGTGTGAAGGGTTCGATATGTCACGATTGAAAGAAAGAGCACTGTCAATGATCATCATCGACCAACTTAATTTCAAGTGGTCAGAAAAGAGGGAGAAAGAAGAAAAAAATCTTTGATTGGCTCTTGTCAATTCAAGATGACAGAGAGAAAAGAAAATGTGCGATTTTCTTCTTTCAAATAATCATTTAGATTATAGAAAAGAAATGACCAACAACGGAACTTTTATGTTTTTACATTGGGACTAAAAGCGTAGCCAGGATTCTGATCTTAGGACGGGGAATGCTCAGTCCAGAGTTGTAAGCAGTTCGGTTGAAATGGTTAGACTGACCGGTCTTCACCAGTTAGAAAATATTTTATAGATATGTCATTTTTCTCTGATAAAACTTGTTGAGAGCAAGTTGCTCACTCTTCTCAAAATAATCAAACAGTATTGGTTCGAATACTATCAGTTTTATTTTCTTCTGTTCGTCAACACTGTTTTATTTCTTTAATCGAATTGTATTTCATTTTTTAAAAAGCACAATCAAAACTGTGTTACTTGAACTAAACTTATATCATATATTGTTTGGTAAGGATCAAATTTAGGTTTGAATTGTCGTTCGAAGAGAAACGTTAGATTTGTCTGAAACGGCTGAGTCAGGAGATTCAAGATTTCGGAACCAGCAATCAGTTGACGGATAAATGACTCTTTCTTTCTGGAGATTTATAAAAATCTGAGTGCACAAAGGAAAAATGAATGTTTTTTGAAGCTATTTTCATTAATCGATTAATAATGATCCAACATATCAGCCAGTTTTTGCCAGTTTTCACTGGTCTAAAACATTTTTGAATCGCTCGAACCACATCAAAAATTCTAGACCGGTTACAACTCTGGCTCAGTCACATAACGCTTCTTGGTTATGACACTAATAGGAAGATACCAGATAAGGTACATTCTTCAATATCAAATATCATTTTACTACTGTAAATCAAACATGTATATTTAACATATCCTCAGAATTTATGTTCATTTGCTTTTTTTTGTCTCAATGGTAAACATACTACTGTCGAAAATTTTTTTTTTTAACTAGATGATGTTCTATACTATAAATTGGAAGCATGGATCTATATCGGTAACAAACAGATCAACATTTTTAGGCTGTAATGAAAATGAAAATTCGTTGTTGATAAGTTCGTATATAAAGTACAATAAAATTCAATAGTTTTGATTTAAACCTTGTGTGTATAATATATTCGAAGTCACTAAATTGTCGTTCTTTAGCTAATACTGATTTTGTGTATAGAAAGAGAATAGACCCTCATTGAATTTCTCATTGTAAACTTTGATAGTTAAGTACAAATGCACTACGATGTTTTGTTGTGAATTACATGATACTTATTGTTCGTTTTTCATATTCAATATCTGTATCTTAATCATGATCACTAATACGCCATTTCGTTTAAACTAAATTATTATATTGATTCTGCTCAACCAATGATCATTCAACAATGAATTTTTTAAATAACTAATGACGAAGATAAGTGAAGGCTTATCATATTCTTTTTAATTTGATGAATCACAAACGAACTGGAAATGGACAGAATTGAGAAGATATCCAAATGGTAGGGTATCAAACGGGACCGAAATGGGATGGAACTGATTCGGACAGAATTGGGAGTATACCAACAAAGTTATCTATTGTTACTTTAATTGACAGACAAGTTTTATTTTCTTTCTCATCTTATTGAACAAACGTTGGTTGTTATAACCTTATGATTTCAATTAATTTGAACAATATGTTCCATTCTTACTTTATAACAAATACATATTTTGAATGTATTTCAAATTGTTGTGTACATAAAACAATAGAATGTATTGGATCGAATAATAACTTTTGAAAACAAGAAATAAAGAAAAAGATTTTTATACGACAACAGAATCGTTTTTACATTGCGTGTTCTTTGTTCATATGTGTTTTACACTTGAAATTTATCGGTTTTTTTCTTGTTTAATGAGACAGGTAGCAAGTCTATGTCAATCATTATGCCAATCTGCTAACAACAAATAGATTTGTCTTGACTTTAACGCAATTTGTTACATACATTTGGCATGTCTCATTAAAGTCAGACACGTTTGCAATCGTATAATATAGCTTAAATTTCGTTTCACACATACACAATATGAGTTATATAAAAAAACCGAGAGAAAGAGTTATATCACAGTGAATGTGAAAATAGCTCAATAATAGTCTCTATATATATACAAACACAAACGCGGCTATAATAAAGGTTATGAGCGTGAAATCAAGAATAGCACAAAGAAAAAAAAAGGAATATGAAAGAACAAAAAAAAGATCGACTAGTAACAAAAAATGTTTTTATTGACGTCGTTTTCTCTTTTTATTTAAAGTAAACCAAATCCTTCAGCATTGTTAATTGCAATTAATAGTTTTTCACGTAATTTATCAATCGATGAGTAATCAGGAAGAAGAAAAGCATTGAAACATGTATGAGCTGTTGGTAAACGATCAGTATCAGGTCCATTTCGGGATATAATTAGTTTCAATCGTGCTAAACCACCGATACTTAAAAAAAAAGAAGAGTTTTGTCTTGATTATGTAAACTACAAAGGGAATACTTACGGTGCACGATCACTACCAGTAGTAAATCGAAGAAATTTTCGTTTTTGTTCATCAGTAAAACTCATTAACACATTCCAAAAATTTCTAAAAAAAACATCACAGAAAATCTATATGTCACACATTCTATTCTCTATTTATCAAAAAAGATTTCCACACAATAATTTCAATGTTCAATTGATGACTATAAGAAGGTGCAAATAAATTATATCCTTAAATTTCATTTATAGTTCTATTGATATTAATTAGTAATTTAGCAAGGATAATGTTTACAATCGAAAAATTTTCTTTCTTAATCAACGTATATTTTATATAACCAAAAACATTTTTTTAGTTGATCAACACTTTTTATTCAGCTGTATTTTATAGGAAAAAAACAAATACAACTTTGCATAACAGAAAATTTACTGTAATAATAGAAATGAGAACATAATTCAATAGTACATAAGATAGTAGTGACAAAATATTATTATAATGTTTTACTAATCTTTTTAAAATATTCATCTAATAACAAACGAACTTTTTTCATATCGTTTCATTAAATCAAGAATTCGTTGACTTCGAAAAATAAATTTTTTATTTCCTGAAAGCGACTTGTCTATACTGTTGTCAAGTTGTTTCATCGTAGCCGTGTTTAATGCATAATCTTTCATTGATTCATCAATCACTGCATATACGTTTGGATTGAAGATGGCAATATTTGCATTAAGTTGATGGTGCCAGCTCTTCAATCCAGATGTATGTGGGAGTAGAGAAGCTTAACACTTACACTCATACCTGCTAATCGAAAGCATTTTTTTGACCTGTTTATTGATGTCAACGTTTGTTTTAAACATGTCACATAGTGTTATTACTCTTTAGTGTATTTCTTTCTCTTCAAGACAAGATTTCTTCAGTAAAATTTTAAGATTGTTCAGAAAAAAGTTCGTCAATGAAATGGACTAATTAAGAGGGTTTTGATAAAAGCAGGAAGATGTCAGGATGATCCATTGCTTCAATTGTTAATTAATTCAATTAGATTGATATGAAGTATAAATGTAAATACTTAAAAAACTATATCTTACCTAATTGTTAAACTATCTTTTGTATAACCACCATCATACTCAGCAGCTGAAGCAAGTTGATTAAAATCTAATACTTGACTACCAGCAACAAGTAATTCAATTTCATCAGGTCGAAAAAGTTTTCGTAATGAACTATCACGTGTTACTAATGAAAATCCATGATAAAAAGGATGAAATTGTTTTTCAACACTTTTATTTAATAGAAGATCACTGTAAAGACGTACAAATTCCTGTGAGTCAAGAAAAAAAAGAGTTTTTTGTAATTAATTAAGATTGAAAGAAAAGATTTTTTTAACAAATAACCTCTCGATTATCACTTGTTACTGAAATATTTTCACCATTCTCTTTTAAGTCAAATGTAACTCGTGAACCAGTGGCATCCGTAATACCAACTTGAAATGTTAATTCATATACATCTTCAACTGTTGTACCTTCTTGTTGTTCATTGAATGATAAAAGACTTTTTAAACTTTTATAAATAGTCTAAATATAATTTATACAAACAAAACAAAAACAGAATATTATATATAAAATTCTTTACCGGATGTGACGTTTCAAGATCTGCAAAACTTCCAACTTTACCCATTAATTTACGATATAGAACAGGTGGAAATTTAATATCAAGAATAATTGAATTATATATAGCTAAACCTAATAGCATGCCAATTAATGTATATTCACGATCGAGATCTTCAGGTGCTGATGGATTAAACCATAGAGAACGTGTTTCTTCATCAGCCATAAACATACCTAAGATAGGAAAAGATTTTTTCTATAAATCACGTCCAGTATAATAAGAATTTCTGAAAGAAAAACTAAAGATATATCGAATCTAAATTTTTTAGACTTGAATCGATTGATAGTTTTCGAACAGATAACTTCAACAATCGATTGTTTACAGTCTCAAATAGGATACCAAGCAGATATGTCCATGGTGGCGCGACAGCTTCTTTTTCAAGGAGATTGTAAAATTGCATGAGTTTGCACCCGATTTGAGCGTCTATAAGTCCAGCAGTCAGAATCGTAATGAATCTGATAGACACAATCTAATTGTGCAAATTTAGCATAGTGATGGAAGAGATTTTCGAAGAATGTCTCGAAAGTCGTCGGGGTAGTCATGTCTTTTTCAAAATTGCGGCGCGACAGCGGTACATTTTCAGTTGCGATGGACATCTCTGGTGTCAAAAGCAATATATATGAGTAAATTGCAAATTTTTGGTATAAGTGTGATTTTAACTGTAATCTATCGATAATTTTTTTATTCTAGTCAAGCAATTCAGGTACATTTTTTATATATCATAATTAGATATGAGCAGAATCCGTCGTTTTGATTTTGATCGCGGCGAAACTGAGACGGGAACTATCTTGCTCATATTTAATCATTCCTCTTTGAGTATTTGATTGTCAAAGCAAATTTCAACTTTTTAGCTCATGAGACTTACACGATGAAAAAATCGCATTTTTTAACTAAGCATGCTAAAAAGAAAACAAAATTTCAGAAACTATGAAGGAAAGAAAAAAAAGATAAGGAATAGTCCATTTAATAGAGCGTGAACTATTATGTCAAAATGTATATTTTTTCCTCGCTTGTATTCTTTTCTTTCTATGTTTCTTCATCAGCAACATTCTATGACAAAAATTTTGTCATTTTTGTGTAGAAGAACATTATACACAATTTCCACTATTCGAATCACTATCTAGATTCTTTCTAGCGCTTAAAGCAGTGGAAAGAAGTTGAAAATAAATCTTGTTGAATAATCTTAGTACTCACTGTATATATATAACTATCAGAAGATAAGTTTCTATTTTGACTACTATTTCAGTGGCTCTAATGGATAAATCTCATTTCAAATCGTGAATAGTAATTATAAAATAATTTTTAATTCATACCATATTCAGGACTAAAAATTTGTTCCGTGATAAGTTGAAAGAATTCTTTTGATAATCCACCTTGAAAAATTAAAAATATAAAATGTTTTTACTTGTTTTTGTTTTCCATAAAAAAAACTTTGTTGTTTTTTTTTACCTTCATCATGACCTTGTTCACCTTCGAATTCGACAAACAATTGTTTTTTCAGTTCAGCCGGTTGTTCGATACCTTGATATTCGAGCTAGACAAAATAAATTGTCTTCTATAGAAAGAAAACTGGCTTAAGGAGAAATGAGATATGATAACATACAGCAATTAAAGCATCTTCAATAAGATGATTACGTCGAACGCATATTTTAAAAAATGGATCAAGACGAATACCACTGAATAAACTATGAAAAAAAGATGTGTGTCGTTGTCGATACATTTGTACTTTATTTTCGATGTTAAGAAATGCTAAAAAAATAATAATAATAAAAGAATGTACCAATAAAATAAAATAATTATCAAAATTACCAATTTTGTTAGTTGTTGATAAAAAAAATGGATATAAAATAAATGAAAAATGTGGAGTATCAGGTCTTTGTCGAACAAAATCAAGATATTCTTTATTTATTTCAATTTTTTCATTAGCATATTCATTAATAAAATCATCAAATGGTAAATAACCATGACAATATTCATTTAGTTCAAGACCAAGTTTAATTTGTAATGGATTTTCATAAATTGATTCAAATTCATCTTGTTCAGTAGTTGATGTACGCATTGAGAAACTTGACGATCGATGACGTATTGGAGAAGTAGGCACAGCTTCTGATCTATTTTCTCTTTGTTCTATTGATTGTTGTTGTTGCTGTTGATTTTGTTCTTGTTCATCATTATTGTCTTCATCAGCACCATCATCATTATGTCGTTGACGACGATTTATTAATTCAACTTCCATTCGTTGATCATTTTCACGTTCTGTTTCAAGTATTTCTGATGTTTCACGTTCACCACCAAGAAGATTTGCATAGAAAAGTATTCGTAATACAAAAACTCCTTCATGCATACCTGTTAAAAGTAAAGATATTTTTTTTAAACATTTAATATCGTCTGTAATACAATTCTATTGATATCTCAATAGAAATATTTGACGCATATTATCTTTCTGATAAAAGAATTTCTATTCTGATTATCTTTAATCTGTAAAAGATCAATTTTGATAAATGCATATTTACAGACCAAGGTCAGAATAGAAGCATGCCTTTCAAACTTATTATTTATGTATAGATAAAAATATTTGACAGTTATAGGCATTATTCATAGCTTATGGATTATGAACTAGCGAACAAAAATGTTCTAACAAATGAAATAGCTGAAAATACTTTTAATAAATGGTCTTCATCTATCACTATTCTAATGGTTCATTAATATAGATCATAAAGAGACGCGATTCAACTTATCTAACATTGGATTAATAAGAAATTCCTTAACTTTCAATAAAAGTTTTAAATTAAATTGTTATCTTATGGTTTAAAATGAAGTAATATGCAGGCGGTGATGGTCACTTTCTTTCATCTTTGCTTTTGATCCTGAATAAAAACATTATTCCTAACCATTGAGCAATATACATGCTCGATACAAGACTTCTAGAAAATTATTCCATTCATTAAAATTGATAGAAACTAGTTTTGTGATACCTTTCTATATTTCATTTTTGTCGTGATAAATTTTTATTGTCATATGGATTATCACTACATATAGTAATCTATGGCGCAGAAGTCTTTACACAAAATATTTACTCATTTTTCGGCTACTGAAAGCCAGAAGTAGTTAGTTAGAATCAAGTTTGTTCACTCTTTCTGAATGTATGTTTAGAATTTCTTTATGAGGTACGATTGAACAACTATCATCAAATAGTTTCAAAAGGTTCAAACTAGTGATTGTACAGAATACTATTTTGGTCAATTTTGTATTTCGATTGAAACTTATCAGATTCAAAATGTTTAATGACCAAGTTTTGTATTACAAAGCATAATATTTACTTGTATACAGCAGGTTTCAAAACTTTTCTACTTTTAATAGCAATTTTTTTACCGATGCTAATTTCCATAGAAATTAACTCTATTGAAAACGTATAGATCAGACTTTACTTATTGTAATATCTCATTTTTTACCAAATTCACTGGTTTACAATAATGTTGAGTTGAAACTGTTCCAATACATAAACTAAGGACTGCATCAAGCCCGGTATTTTGCTTTGTACAGACAAAGCTTTGAACTCTTTTCACAAAATCTATTTTAATAGTTATCCAATCTTACTCTAGAAGAAAAACCTGAACATATATTTGGGACTAGAGAAAAATTCTGCTTCCAACTCTAATCAGTTGTCCTTTAGTGGCCAAACACTTTGTACCAAGATTTTCTTGCCAGAGCTTAGTTTCATAAGTTTTAGATCTTTTGACTTATAAGGTTTATCAAAGCCCTAACGAAGAAACCGCTTCAGATACCTTCTCTCGGCTTCAATGATTTTTTGCCTATAGATGCTGTATATTTTTCTAATAAAACTTCTAAAAGAATTTCCGTTACTATAGAGTTTTTAATATGTCTATCTTGTAGACTCCACTTTCGGACAACTCATATTTTCGAACTTTGATCTGAAACTTTGTGCATATAGAGAACTCAACTACACTAGCTTACATAGAAAAATTCAGACGTTTTCAACAAAGACTCTTCGAGATATGAAGTTTTCAAAAAATGCATGTTATATATACTATTCATGGAAAAAGAGTCTATATCTTGAAAATCTCTTATATTGAAGAGACTTTCTTGAAAACTTATGAATTTTTTTATGAAAGCTAGTCTAGTCGAGTTTCCGATATGCACAAAGTTTCAGACCAAAATTTAAAGATAAAAGTTTTCCAAAAATTTAGTGTCCCTACAAAAAAAATCCGATACCTTAGTCAAACATCAATAGAAATCCAAACGCTTTAAGAATTATTATCATAACACTATACAGTATCTATAGGTAAAAAAAAACATTAAAATGGGAAGAGGGCATTTGAAGAAGTTTCGTCATGAGTAAAATTCAGAATATAAAACTCAGTAAAAACTTACAGAGATAAGAAACATATCAAACACACGATTAATATTCCGAGTTTTAAATCTACTTTATACTTAATCTATTTGACGCATATTTACCTTTTTCAGTTGACAATAGTGCTCCATTTGTGCTATTAATATCTGTATGACCACACCATTTCACTGTATGCATAGTAATATATTGTTGTATATGTGCAACATAAAATTTTAGATCATTTTTATGTTTAGCTAAAACTCGTATAAATTTTGCTTGTATATCAATTGATAATTTCAAAAAAATTGAATAGAATGCATAGGCAGTATCAAAAATAAATGTGGGATCGGATAGATATGGTAATTGAAATATAATAAAGAATATATTTAAAAAATTAGCATCATTTTCGAGTTCATCTTTTTTTGATGATAATAATTCATTAGATATTTGTTTAAATAAAACACCTAATGCATTATTAATTTTTGATGATATTTCATCTTCATATAACATTAATAATTTTATTGAACGTTTCATCATGTCAAAATCTAATGTCATCTCATCATTGTCGAGTGTTATACGTGAATCATGTAGAAAATTACCTTTAATTAAATAAAATTAATTTGATTATATATATATATATATATATATTTTTATTGATAAAAAAAAAACAATTTTGTTTTTTTTACTTTTTGCTGTAGCACTTGCTGATGAAGAAATTTCATTATTAAGTGATATATTCATAGGAAAACCTTTTTGTAAAAAACTTGATGATAAATTTTGTCGATTAGAGAAAACAGAATAGATTAAATTTTGAAGTAATGTCCAATCATTTATTTCTTTAGATTTATTAATTATTTGTTGAAGATTTTCTTCTCTTAGAAATAAATTTGAATTTATATATTCATCTAAATAAATTGAACCATATTCATGTGAAAGTTTAATTGCTTCAGCAGCAGCATTATTTGGATCTTCAAAAAATTTTCGATCATATTTAAATGATGAATTCGATGAACAATAGATATTTAAACATTGATTATTTCCTATGAATGAAAAATGGATTAAAAACAAACCAAAAAAAAAAAGTTAAGAATTTATTTCTACATACCACAACCATGCGTTAGTTGTTGAAAATAATTTTGAACTAATTTAGCTAAAATATGAAAAAATAAATTCATTCAACAACACAGAAAAGGTTTATTGATGATCGTCATACCCGCAGTCATATGAATAGTTTGTATTCAAATAGTACAATGTTATTTTTATCAATTCTAGAAGAAAATGAAGAGATTTTTCATCAATGATGAAATATTACATCAATAGAAATATCTTATTTAGTGTTAGCTGCTTTTTATCATCGACTTCTACGCATTCATTTGTGTATTTTCTACGTCTTAATCGCTCGTCATTATTTTATCTTAGCTGTAAAAGATTTCACCAATCCAAATGAATAGAATAATAAAAATAAAACAGAAGACTTATTCAGCAGAGGGCGTTTTAGATTTATTCTGTACATGTTGGAAAGAAAAGAAAATTTCAAAAATATAACCTTTCATTACTTTTGATCATGGTTTTTTCCAACTATTTCATATAACATAAATATATCAAATTAAACGGAAATTTAAATATAATTGAAATGATAATGTCTATTACATTAAATGATAAATTAGATTTCGTTTAATGTTACAGAAGTATAGAAAAAAATTTGACGGTACTTTATATAACAAAGAGTTGAAACAATAAGAATGGTTATGAATAATCTTGGATATTTACAAGTTAATTTTTATATTTTTATCAAACCTATGAGGAAACTAATCCAACTGATACCTGCTGTTTGAGCTGATATTGAGTTTACAAGAAGATTTTGGTAGGACTAGAAAAATCGTAAAAGAATTCAAGCCAAGTTATGAGCATTTTACTGAATTTTCTATCGAGTTTTAAATATTTATCGAAAAATCAAGCAATGAAGGTTCGCCTAGCGATAGGTCTGATGATATCCTGAAATTTTCAGTCGAAAAGAATGTTCTTTTGTCGAAGTATTGAATTTCCAAAAAAGAAAATGATCATTTGCCACGAATATTGAGTTTACTTGAAAATTCAATATCTTGACCAAGGAACATTCTTTTCGACTGAAACTTCATTGTTTGATTTTTCGGTAAATACCTAAAGTTTGATCGAAAACTCACTTGGCTCGAACTCGTTTAGGGTTTTTCTAGTCTTATCGAGACTTCCTTGTGAATCTAATATGAATTCAAACGACGAGCATCAATTCTAGTAGTTCTCTTGTTAATGTATTACATTTGTGATTGACTATTTCTGAATTCTAAGAATGTATAATAAGCTGATGGTTTTTTCGAACCATATGGATTTTGTTCAGTTTCTCTACCACTAGACAATGATTCATTAATAGCAAGGTTATTATGTAGCATTGCAGAAACAATCCCTTCGCAGTCATCTAATTACGATGTAGTATACTAATCAAACTCCTTTTAAGTGCATCATAATTTAATAAAGAAACATTCTTAATTGTCCGACATCAATGGAGTTCATCTTCTACTCAGAAGTAAAAATCGATGAGATGTCTAATCGAAGTTTAAACAGTTCCAGATCGATGTTCTATTCAACCAGAGTTATGAACGTTGTATTGAAGTCTTGGACCTCTAGGCCAGATGTTCACAAATAGATATCAGAACCATCAGAATAATCTAAAAACTTCAGTTCCAATCAATGTATTTTAAATGTGCTTTTGAATGTTCAATGAATAACAATATGTTGTCGGCGAAGCAAATAGAATCAACTAATTTTAGACATCGAATATTTGAGAAAAGAAAAATATATTCGTTTGAGTTCGATTTTTTTTTTGAATACTCTAGTCACCCTGAGACTTGTTGATGAAAATAATATCTCATATTTCAGGTTTTGATGAATATCTGATCTAAAGACAGAAAACTTCAATAAAAATGATCATAACATGGGTAGAGTACAGTATGGGTCTAGTCTTACTGAATCTTCGTCATCAACTCGCTTGGTGTCTATCATCAGTTGGACGCATTTCTTCATAAAATATTATCTTTAGTTGTTACACTTCATATTTATTTTATCTCGTAAGCCTTAACCATTATTTTCAGATTAATAATTCAATTACTTCTCGGTTAATATTCCAAGAATATGGTCGATTAATAATATATTGTTGTTATTTGTCTTTTGTCTGGCATAAACAACCGGTTTTACTAACACAATATTTTTACAAGAGTACACATACGCACAGACAAGCATATTTATATCGCAAAAACAAAAAAAGACATACATAAAGAACACACAAGAAGAAAAGAGGAAACAAGAAAAACAAAGATCAGGAGAGTTTTTATTTGTTTGCTTGTGTGTACATTCAATGGTTTTTATATGAATACATTTATATGTTGGAACAAAAACAAAAAAAAAGACAACGAGAAAATTCAGTTTGTTTTTTAGATAAGAAAGAAAAACAATGAAAACAAAAAATTTAATTAAATGTCATTATTTTTTCAGTGTACTTTCTGCACGATATGCATCAAGATCAGCGTCTAAATCTTCAGCACTAATACTTTCTTTTTTTCCATTACCACGAGTATTATTTGTTTGTTGTCTATTACCACGTGGTCGATTAGCTCCACCGCGAGTTCCATTTTGTTGATTATTAAAACGATTACCTGATCTTTGATTTCCACTATTAGTTCCATTAATATATGAACCACGATTTGTTTGTTGTTGTAATCCACTATCAACAGCTCCTACTAATTTAATATCCATTGGACGACCTAATAATTGAGTTGTTTATAACATATTGAATTTCTTTTTTTTTTTATTGATATATGACTTACCATCAAGATTAAGGCCGTTATATTTTTGTTGAGCAGTAGTTGCATCAACACGACGTTCAAAAACAACTTCAGCTGTACCTAAAGATTGACCATTTTCATCGAAATGTACATGTGCTGTACGAACAGCTCCAATATCTTCAAATAATTCCTTGAAATAAAACATACGAAATTAATTTTAAATTAATATATGAAACAAAAAAATTCTATTTTACTTGAATATCACTTTTAGTTACACCATAATCAAGATTAGATATAACTAATTTCGTGGTACTATTAACACCACTATTTCGTTGTATACCTCGAACTCGATTAGTACTATCATCATAAAGGTCATGTTTCCAACGACCTGCTGGTGCATTTGATGTTCGCGGCTAAATATATACAAGAAATTTGTGAGAATAATCAAAATAATAAAAAAATAAACAATTACTAGTTCCCCACCGCCACGAGCTCGAAATCCGTTGATTTGACCACCTCCTCGACCGCCGCTACGTCCCTGAAATCCTCGTTTACCACCACGACCGCCACGCCGAATCGTTGTACGATCCATTCGAATGATATCGTCGAGACCAAGACCAAGTTTATCCGAGTCGGCCATTGCTATGTTGCTTTCGAACTGCTGTTGTTATGAATAAACGATGATGATGATGGAGATGATGGAGTGGCGTTAATCTAAAAACTTCATTTTTTTTCTGTGTGGTACATTGGCTGTTGTTTTAAATTATTTTGAACTGGATTATTAAGAATACATATATAGTAGTTTTGTATAATTAAACACTGCAATCGAATAAGATAACAAAAGCTGTACAGCAGTCCGGCTGTGTTTTGTTATTGCCGTCGACGAGGTAAACCCCGTGGACACACATTCGCGGTATTCGTCGTCAAACGAATTTAGCGAATTGTGCTCATGCATTCTATTCATTCTTGACTTTTTAGTTTCCTAATATTTTCTTAAATTTTCATACTTGATATATTCAATAAAGTGAGGAACAACTCGGGATAATAATTAGTAAAAAAACGAACAAACCGCCGAACAACACTACAAGTATAAAATGATAATGCCAGGAGAGGAGAAGAAGAAAATATAAATGAATGAAAATTTGTTGATTGAAAAATGTTGCAAAACAAAGGAAAATATGACTATGTTTATTTTTTTCATAACCATATTGAAAGTCATCGTAAATTGACCTCTATTCAAAAGTTTCAACTGAAAAAGAAAACATTTTACATAGTTTAGAAAATTAAAAAAAATCTCATTTGAATACTATTTCTCAATTAAAAGTCTCTGATTTACAATATTTTAATTAAAAATATTAGTACAAAGGGCCACCTATTTTCTCATTGGCTGCATCTATTGTCATGTGAAAAAGACCAAAGATATCCAATGAGTCAATAACTAGGATAGTACGCATTGATTCATTCATTTCGAAAAGAAAAAAACAAGCATGTCTCAAGAGCGACGTCTTCACAATAATTCAAATGATGACGATGCAATGAATAATCGACATCAAATGGAATACGAAATTGCGTCTGATAATTTAGAATTCATTCCAACATTTCTTAAAATAAAACAAATAATTCTTCTTCGACACAGTGATTTTATTAATTTACTTAATGAATTTAATGATACATTGGAGAAATTTACAAGAGATGAACCATATTATTTACGATTTACTATTGTACCACATTCCGATTCGAATGTATTTTGGAAAGCACTTATTCGCATAAAATGTTCAAAAGTAGATGAAAAAAAAATTCTTTTTTATTCGATTTTTAACTTACTTTTCTTGTTTTCGTTTTTTTTTGTTAAGATTTCAAGAGCAGATCAAAGTAGATTGAATGAAATTGTTTTAAGTTTACAACAATTCTTATCTGTACATCAATCATTATGTCAACAAATAGCAATATTACAAAAATGTTCATCACCAACATTATATAATTCATCACCAACAGATCAAAATTCTTCATCATTCTCAACAGCAAAATTGTTCGTAGAATAAATAATATTTTTAAATAATTCATCTAGTTTGTTAAGTTTTTTTTTTTAAATAGATCTTTTAGTATATCTAATAATGATAATGAATGTTGTATTTGTATGGATCGTAAACCAAATTTAGTTTTGCCTTGTACACATAAATTTTGTGATGAATGTTTTCATGAATGGTTAGTTTCCCTTTTTTGTACATATTCTTATTTCAATCATCATCATTATCATATTATTCTATCTTCTGTATAGGTCTTCTCAAACATCACCTACATCATCTCAAACATGTCCATTATGCCGTGTCGATGTAAATAGTGATAGTGGTTTTGTACTTGCCGAAACACCAAAATATGATAATGTTAAAAAGATGCTTACAGAATCTATACTATCATTACCAATTGATTTAAAAAATCGTGCTAATGATGGCACATCAATGATTCGAAGCTATCGCGAATGACATTTTTTTTGTATCAGTTTATCTGATATAATGTATAAATATTATTTTTTTTTATAAACATGCTCCTTGTATTCCTTTTTGTTTTATTTTTGGGACTATTTATATGATTTAATGTACGTGTATATATAAAATTTGTGCAACACAATATTTAAAATAGCATGTCGAAATAAAAACAAAACAAAAGCAATTAACAAATTTTTCTTTTCCATGTTCGGTATAAAATCTTTCTTAAAGAAAAAAAACTCATAGAAAAGGTAATATTGAATCTGATTTAGTTTCTAGATTCTATTGAGTCAAGAATGAATTTTCATGATTATTTAATATATGCCAAATTACAATTGGTAGGAGAAAAGCATTTGCATGTAGAATGATAAATATTTTTCTACAATGTATTGATAAATACTAAATGATTTCTCGTCAAAAATTGCCATGTTTGAGATAAATATCGAGGTGCATCTTCGAAGATATCTTTTTTCTTTAATAATTCATAAAAATAAATTTTTAATTTTGAAACATTTCTGAGAGATATATCGGAAGTGTCTAAAGATATCTATGGTAGTATTCCTGTGTAAATCTAGGTAAAAACTGAGTACTGGCATCTGCTATTAATTGTATGTATTACTAGAAACATAGTATAATATGGTTTGGATAAGTTTAGTGTTTGATATTTAACACGATCGTGTCTAATGATAAGCAAGAAAAATGCGAGATAAACATTTTTAATGTTTCCCTTAAACCAAACTTTTGTATTGATGATCAAACTCTTAATAAATATCTTTTCAGTACATTTTGTTCAAGAGTACTCAGGGATTTTTTCATTCGATAATATAGTACTTGCATTTAGGAATGAGAAAAGAGAGATCAATGATAAACATAAGGTAGATTTTTAGAAATGCAATTATGATCATGGCTTAGTGATTCGAACCGATAACAATTATGGACTGGTAATCGATATTTACTAGCCGCATGTAATACCTAACGAAAAATGTGTGAGTTTGATTTTCTCGTCAAGAAAAGTCTATTTTACAAACATAATGATTATCTATTACATTTAACTAAAGATTGTCATTCTCGAGGAGTCTGAATTCCTAATCGATTTCTGAAAATATTCGAGTATGATTTCTCAAACCTGACAATCTTTATTTTCGTAACATAGATTTTTCTTGACAAAAAAGATCAAATGCAGAAAATTTCCATTAGCTGTTACCGGTGGACTGGTTATCACAATTATTGCATTCCTAGGTAGTTTCTCTAAACAGTTTGATATGATATTTCTAGATCTTCTAGGTTTTGACTTCCAGAAAATAAAAAGAAAACAGTATCAATTCATAAAGTCCTTCCTCTTATTTGAAGTAGTGTAGAGCTTTCTTTCCACCAAAAGAACCTCGTAGTCTGTCATTTGACGTATAGTGACCGATATAAGTTTATGGCTATTGTATTTTTGACTATTTCTAAAAACTTCAATGGGATTGCTTGGACGAGAATGTCTGGAAAATCAGGTTTTAGAACTCATTTGATGCTTTGTGGGAATGATTTTATTTGAGAAAGCAAAATGAGATGTTTCGACTCTCTTCATGACCTTTCTTTGTCGAACTGCATTCAATTTATAGAAGGTTTCAAAGCGGTAAACACGACAAAAATGATTGAAATTTTTCATAAAAACAAAAGAAAAATGCTTCTTGGGTCTTCGGTAAATATTGAATGCAATTCGATGTAGGAATATAATGAAGAGAGTTGAGGCATCTCATTTTGCTCTATCAAATAAAATCATTTCAAAAAAGCTTCAAATAGATGTCAGAAAACTGGCTTTGAAGATCTTGGTTTTTCAGACATTTCCATCCAAGCAGTTCTATTGAAGTTTTTAGATTCACCAATCTTGATAGAGAATCCTTTTAGAGACTCAAATGTTTTTTCAAACTCCTCCTAACTATTACCATCGAGAAGAGAACCTAAAAATACAACTGCTCAAAATTTTTATTCGTCACTATATACTGGAAATTAAATTGCACGTCTAAGAAGTATTCTAAGCGTCGATGCTCGGACAATTTTTTAATGTTAAACTTTGGAAATGATAATAAAGCTTTATGCATATCTCTATTGATTTAACATAACTAAAAATTTTCATTAAAATTCCATGTACTATATCGAAAAATTCATTTTGAGAATACGAAAACTTGAAAATCAATACATTGTGATAGAAAAATATTGCTCATTATTAATTGAAAATATATCTATATTCAATTAAAAGACTAACATTAATCGATTTCGTCTGATACGAATCGTTTTGGGTAATGAATCTTGTGATTTGGATTCAACTATAAGTGCTTGCGTCTATGCATATTTTCTTCATATTGTATGTTAAATAAAATAAAATTATTGAATTTAATCATTGAGTTTTCAAAATTAGACTTGTTCAAATCAAAATGAAATTCTTTATTTACCTATAATGAATACTAATCCATCAACATTTCGTTTACGTACTGAAATTCGTTGGTTTCTGAAAGAAAATTATTCAAATGTTATATTTATTGATGATATTAATTTAAATGAATTATATGATAAGAAAAAACTTGAAATAATTCTTGTTGATCATCATTATTTACGTTCACAATTAAATAAAGTTGTAATAGAAATAATTGATCATCATCAAATAAAAGAAGATTCAATTATTTTACAAAAGTATTGAAAAAACAATTGTTTTTTGTTTGTTCAAATAAAAATTCTTTTATTTTGTTTTATGAATCAGTTCATCGGCAATTAAAATTGAACTAGTTGGTTCATGTTGTACATTAATTGCTGAAAAATTACTTACATCAAATTTTCAAATGACAGAAGAAATTGCATATTTATTAACTGGTAATTAAATAAACAAAAGAAATTTAAGAAAAAAACTTATTTTTCTTTTCTTTCTTCAAGGACCAATTTTATTTGATACAATTAATTTTTCACCAAGTGCTGGTAAAACAACAGAAAAAGATTGGCAAATCTATGCAAAGCTTCAAAATTTTCGTTCACACTCTGCTGATGATTCAGAATTATATTGAAATTTAAGACAAAGTTCTTGTGATGTAACAGGTAAATGAAATTTTTTAAACAAATAAAAATATATTTAAAAATTAAATATATAGGATTATCGGTTCAAGATTTATTACAAAAAGATGCTAAACAAATTGTTACACCAAATTTGCGTCTTATTATGTCCAGCTTACCAACGAATTATACAGTTGAAGTAAGCCTTCTCATAGAATAGTAGTTCACTGAATTTTGAACTTATTTCGCAAGTCAAAATTTTAGATGGGCTTCTATTGCGATCAACTTTTTTTGTCTTGTAGCTATGATTCGATTCCGCTTGCAAGCACAGAAGTGCACAAGATTCGATAAATTGAAGTTTTCAAACTGTCTGAGAACTTTGATAGTTCTCGATGGACCAAGAATTGACTTCTATACGTTTCTAGTTCCATGTTATCAGATAACTTGAGTAATGCGTTCATTACGCTACTTTTCTCATTCACATGTTCATCTGTCATCAATATTTCGTGCATCTTAAGAGAGATACCCCCTACAATATGCTCTCAAATTTGGTTCGCTTGCAGAGAAAACTTTCAAATGTCAGAATATTATAATATCTTTTGGATTGAATAAGATCTAACAGAAGTTAGGGAATTTGCTTATTTGATGTCAGTAGAAAAAAGTAATCCTTATTAAATCTCCTACTCTTACAATGCTTTTCAGGAAATTTTTCTTTCAGAAGAAATGTCGTTCTCCTGAAGTTCAAGGCTCTAAGATATATGTTTGAGAGTGAGGTTTAGCATACTATGAAAAATAGAGGCTGTGAAGTTATACGCTTTAGCATGACTTGTTTTGAATGAAAGTTTGTATGTACAAGTGTCTACCCAAATTGGACGCTGTATTGAAGAAATATAAAATTTTTTTTTGGTAATTTTGATATAGTTTAGAAGATGAAAAAGATCGCTGAAAATAATGGTATTTTAGAATTAAAATGTCGATGTTTTCAGTGATTTTTGCATATTCTATGTTATATCAAAATTATGGCACGGATTAATTGTTTTTATATTTCTTCAATACAACATCCAATTGTCGTGTAATTTGGAGATAATATACCTGATGATCAGGCACTTGTACATACAAAATTTCATTGAAAACGAATAATGCTAAAACTTAAAATTTAACGTTTCACAAAACCTCTATTTATCATGGTATGCTGGACTTCATCTTCTGACGCATTGTGGTGCCTTCAATTTTAGAAGAATGACATTTCTTCTGAAAGAAAAATTTTCTGAAAGACATTGTACGAGTAGGAGACTTGATGAGGATTACTTCTTCTGCTGACATCAAATTTTGTAAATTTCATAACCTCTGTTAGATCTTATCCAATCCAAACGATACAGTAATATTCAGATACTTGGAGGGACTTCCTATAAACTGACTAAATTTGAGGGTGTGTTGTATGACGGACCCCCACCTTTAATATTTTGCTTTGAAAAATAATTGAGCTTTGGAGAAGTTGAGAAAAAACATCTATGAGGCATCTATCAACACTTTTGTACAGTTCAGAAACACAAGAAGATCTATTTCAATTAGCTTGAAAGAATTATAAAATAAACTTTTTACTACCAAATGAGAGTTTCTCATTCTTGTGAAACAGGTAGTTCAGATCTTATGAATGTTTCGATAATGTATATTGCACTCATCTCATACTAGCACTTTTTTTGAGTCCAAAAATTGGTCATGTAATTTCAATCGATCATCGTTCAGTTTTGTGAGATGTTTCATTTTTCAGTTAAAGATTTGTTTATATTTCTGTTACCTTAATAAAAATTTACTTCGTTTCATTTCTAGACTATGTATAATCCTAAAACGGTAACAGTATTGAAGATGATTTACATGACTATTTTGCGTTCATTCAGCTAAAGTGGGATTCTATTACATTTGGAAGATTATCAGCTTGAAATTGGATTTCTATTCTGTGGGGAAGATTAGTTAATATATTCTTATTATTTCACCTTTGTCTTTTCTTAGAAATTAATTGGAGAGTTAAAAACAATGAACGATATAAATGAATTTTTATTAAAAAATGATAATGCTGATGGTGTTATTATGACTTCTGTAGAAATTAAGAACGAAGAAACAAAACGTCAATTAGGTTTTTATATTAAAAAAATTGAATACATACAACCGATTTATGAATATATTCAAAGGAAAGAACTTAAACTTAATTTACATGAACGTACTTTACCGATGAATCACCAACATATTAAATTTTTTGATCAAAAAAATGTTCATGCATCTCGTAAACAAATATTACCATTTATTGAAAAATTTATCAGAGATTTTATTTAATCAAATTCATCTTCGATATTTTTATCAATCCGTTTAACTCCATTATGTTTTAGTTATGCAACTAAATGTTTTTGAAATTTGAATTCACTTTTTTTGTTATAAGTTTAAATGCTAGAATATTTTGATAAATAAAAATTTTAAATATGAATTATAATTTATTCAAGTTGTTTTATTTTTCTACATATAAGATCAATAGCTTTACATTTCATTCTACTCTAGTCATTTGATAAATGATGCAAATAATTCAAGAAATTGTAAATATGTGGTTTTCATTAATCGATAGAGGAACCTCAGGGATATGAGAGTATACAGAAATCAAAGCTTGTCGTACTCTTCAGAAAATTTTATTTGCGATATTGCTTAAAGAATAGACTCGTTGGATTATGAAATCTGAATGAATCGGATTTAAATTTGTAGTGTATGTAATCCAACGGTAGTCTAATGTGCCCTAAAAATTTCATCGAAAAAAACTCTCAGAGGATTTCAGCAGTACCGAAGTTATCAGCTCGTTCTGTAGAAGGTCTCGATGCACGTCCTATTTGAGTTAATGGACTGATCTTTTGTGTGAACGAATATCGTAGTCTAGACTTCAATACAATGCGATCACGTCATAACTTGCTCGCACAAATGAGGAAAATCGACGAAAATACTACTAGGGATTATATTTTTCTCCAAGAAAGCCGGCGTGTTCTACTCTGAAAGTTGTAGAGGTTAAAAATTAGTGTTTTGTTGCATTTTCCTCATTCCTGTGAATGAGTTATGATGTTACTGCATTGAATTGAATTCTAGGCTACGATATTTATCCATACAAAAGATGAGCCCATTAGCTCAAATAGAACGTACACTGGAGTCTTTTGCTGGGAATACTAATGACGTCTATGTCATTCAAGTCCGTTAAGGGATTTTTCGGTGAAATTTTCAAGACAGATTGAACTACCTTTGGGCTATGTACTCTACAAATTTCAATCCGATTGATTCAGATCTCATATATTCTAATGAGCCTATTCTTTAACAAATTTCATAAATAAAGTATTGTAGAGAGTACTATAATCCTTGATTTCTCTATACGTTTACATTCCTTAGAGTCCTTTATCGGTTAATGAAAACTATATATTCATAACTTCTTGTTTCCTTGAATTATTGGCGCTATACTCACGCCTCTTTAATTCTGGCATCGACAATTGGTGAAGGCAGACGACGACTTTTTCCGAATGCCATGTATATGAAACACTTGCTTTTTGTTTCGAAATCAAATTTTTTAGCTTTTAACACCGATGTAGATTAGAAAAGAAATGGCAATTCGTTTCAAAATACGTGCACTTAAAGAAACATGTCAACGTTTGTTTTCGACAAATTTTGATCTTCAAAGGAAGCGTTTTCGATCTGCTTTACCGAGAAGAGAATGACATCCGAGCAGCTGTGTGCACAAAAAAAAACAATTCTATTAGTGCGCAGATGGTGCACGGTGCTGAAAATATTTAAAGGTTATGTATGTTTGTATAATGAAGACATAGAAAATTATTGGTAGAAATTTCCAGATGATCTAAGTTAAGTTTCTTGCATAGTTCTATCTTAATTGTAACGAAGGAATGCAAGTTCGAGTCATCACTTAAATACGATTCAGCATTTAGTCATAAAAAAAGTCATTACCTTCTCAAAAACGTCTTGAAAATCTGTCTCAATGGACAAATATTACTGTGAGTCGGTGAAAATATTGACTTTTATACTAGACTTTGAATGCATTGCATAGATTTATTAATCTAGTAGAATGAGAAACAAGTGTTTGAGTCTGGTCACAGTGTTTTATCTAGACTTTCTCTTTCAAAGGAATGACTTAAAACTCCGTGAGAGCGAACATCTATCTTTGAGAGCACAGACACAAATACATGGAAGAACCACAAATACATGGAAGAACCACAAATTCTGGGAAGACCTACTCGGTCTTCGGTGAGATGCCTCCCCATCAGTCCTTCGACACCGGATAAGACACGGTCTGCTCTTGCTCATTCAAACCTCATTGTTTTCGCCTCCATCATCTATCTCTGTCGTAATAAAAAAAAAAAGTAGTTCATTCATATCATTTTATTGACATACGCACAAAAAAAAGGCCACAAACAAAATCCAGAAAACACAAGGAAAAGAAAACAGTTGCAAACATTGTTTTTTTTTTTTTGATAACCTGGCATTCTTATTGAAGAAGTTTTGTGTTCAGTTTTTTCGATATTTTAAAATCAACTTCAGTCAAATAGCTTTGAAAAAACGAAAGACGAACTAATCTTTAATATAGAGCATTGTGTATATCTCATCGAACTACCGTAGTCGGCTGTTGTTTTATATTGGCTATATTATTTTTTACAAGATGTGAATGCATTGTTAATACATGTTGTGAAAAACGGCTTCGTCCTTGAAGTATTTCACCACAAACTTTACAACGAACACGAACATTTTCATCATAATCAGGTGTCTAAAAATGAAAAATAAATAAGTATTTGAATTTTAATCGTTCTCTTGAACGACGTCAATTATCTATATATTTTCTTCTCTGTTGGATACTTAGATATTATTGAAGAAGATAAAAATAGTTGTGAACAAATATTTGAATAAATTAAAATGATTTATTTGTACTAAACAACATAAGCTCTTTTTTTTGCCATTTATAATCTCTCAGAATGATACATTAGGGTAGTTTTTGATTTTGTTTTGCTGTAGAAAATTAAATTTTCTAAAACATCGCGAATTATAACAAGTTAGAACTGAAACGAATTAAAGACTGTAAATATTTTTCGAATAGCTATTCTTTACATGGAGACGAAATTTTTCAAAAACTATTGGTTTTTTTTTTAACTTGACATATTTGAATTAGAACAGGTTTCTATCATTTGTAAATATATGTCAAAAAAGAAGCCAAATATCGATTCTACAAAACTTTGCTTAAAAGATTTTTTGATAAATGATACTTTCTAATAGTTTGAATTGAGATAGTTGTAATTAAAATACAGAAATGTACTACATGAAATATTTTCATCAGAGCTGAACAAGAAAGTCTCACAAGTGATTAGTCGCTTTTGAGTCATGACTATATGCATTTTATAGACTCGAGTGAACTATGAATGTCCTGAATAGAGTTCGGACTCTTAGCTTATTGGTGTGGAGATACTGCAGTTTAACAGTATTTTTTTTAACTCGATGCCGTAATTCGTCGTAGGAACAGGCCTTATCGAGAATAGTTTATTATGAAAATTTCAGATCTTTTCAATGTTCCTACCCTAAGATACGACTATGGTAAAAGTGTATCTGGTACATTCGATGATCTTAATTCAGATTCAGGATAAATCAAAAGCCTAGAAACTTTTACAATAAATTCTTCTCGCTAAAGTCTGTCTCTGTGTTAAATTTCTATGCGGAATTCAAAGATCAGTTTTCCTGATGTTTCTCGGAAGAAAACGGCATCCACATCCAAATATATTGTAAAACTAGAGTGTCTCCACAGCAATAAACTAAGAGCAAGAGTTCTTTTCAGGTTATTCATAGCTAATTTAAATCTACACGATGCACATAGTTCCAATTCAAAAGCAACTTATTAGTTGAGGGACTTCCCTCTTGAGTACAAGACATACCAAACTTTGCTCTTGTTTTACCTACTTCACTGTGAGCCAACTGAAGTGACACAATAGTGAATAAATAAATTTTTGATTAAAATTCTAAAGTCGCACGATTGTCAGTTAAATGAACTAAGATATCTTCAATATTGAAATGAGAATAAAAGAAAATCGAAGAATGACAACAATGATTACAAGTTTACTGTAAAAAAAATAATACTAGCTGACTTTATATCTGATTATGAATGTTAAAATAGATGTAGACCAACAACTGATACATTAATAATTTTTAAAAAAAGATAACATGAAAAATTTCACTCTTCATCTCTCAAAGTGCTACATCAATTCATTGGAAATTATATACTTTAACACGTCGCAAAAACTAATTCCTGAGAGTGCAATTAATTATATTAAAAAAAAAACCAAACTTGTCTTAACCCAGAATAATTAGATAAGATCTTCTTATCATTGTTTTTCTTTATGTATTATTAGTTTAAAAGGTATTCATATTATTTCGATGGAAAGAAAAATAAGTCGATTGAAAGATGATGACGAAGAATTCGACATCTATTCGCCAAAATAGAAAATGAAAGTAGGAGCTTTGTCTGTTCTGCAAGATGTCTTGTTCTGTGCAACAGGATAAAACAAAATAAAGTTGTCCATTGTTCCTTACACTAAAGCTTATTTTAAAGGACTTCCTTTTTTAGCCTCTATCAAAATTTTTCTCTCAATGAATCAACTTTAATCCAGTAAAAAAAACCATAAAATTCTCATTCTACCTAACTATTTTTAATTCTCTTCAATAACATATACATGGAGGAAAAAATTAAATAAACATCTTATACAACGATCTTCTACAAAGATTAATTCACTAGAATAAACTAACGAGGGCACATCTTTAGATCTTCCAATTTCAATGATTTTGTGTCTATATGATACTACAAAGTGTTCTAATAAAAACCCTAAAAAGATTTCAGTTCCTATTGAGATTGACTAAGCTATCAATTTTTTTCTAGAGGGTCCACATTTCGAAAAGCCTGAAGTCTAGAAAATAGACATATTAAAAATTCGATAGAAATTCAAACCTTTTAAGGTTTTTATTTGAACACTATGTAGTATATATAGGCAAAAACTCATTGAAGCTGAAGGAAGGGGCATTTGAATAGGTTCCCTCGGAAGTAGATTCTATTTTCTCCATAAATTCAATTAGCTATTATATTCAACGTTGAAATATGATTCTAGAATTACCTGATGACTATTAGTTTTGTATATACCATTATCATTAACAGATTTTTCTGATTGATTTTTATTCGATGATGGAATTATTTGTTTAATTGACGGTGGTGAATGACATATAATAATTTCTTCATCATCTGTTTTTGATTTAACTTTTAAATTTTCAATATTATTTAATGATGATATTGATTGTTGATCATGATTTAATATTTGTACATATTCAACTGAACTATTTGATGCTTGTCGTTGTCTACTTCGACGTTGTTGTTTTGATTGTTCACTTTTTCTAGAAACAACATTATTATTATTATCATCTTCATCGTCATCATCATTTTCTTGTTCAATATCATCATTAGTTTTAATAATAACAACACTAGATGATGGTGAAACTCTTGCTTTCCGTTGTTCACGTTGTCGACGACGTTTTTCTGCTGAACGTTCAACTGCTAGAGTAATAGTTGGTGATATACTACGTTTTAATGATGTTGTAGATTGTTGTTGTCTTGAAATTTTTGAGGATGTTCGAGTTGATGTTGATGAATTACTCGACATAGAAGAGAGCGAACGTACTAAGAAATAAAAAAAAAGAAGCAATAATCATAACAATTTTCAATAAATACATTCCAGACTTGAAATCGGTCCCTTTTTCATACATCAACTAACAAATTACTTCTTTTGAGAAAGAGTTTATTAATACAGCTTCACAAATAGATCGAGTCAAATTCATATAGCTCTTGAGATTTCTAATATGAACATCGTTTATTTAGTGCGTCACGTCCCATACACACCAGAACTAACAAGCAAAGGGAAACTGTTTCAAAACATTTCATGTGGTATTTTACAACAATTAATATAGAACAATATCCGTGTCTTATTATTTAATGTTCTTGAAAATAGCATACCACTTTATATTTACATAATTGCCTTGAAAAAGTCAAGAATAGTATTACCTTTACTTGAAGAACTTTTTCAATCGTCAGCTACTATTGTCGATAGAAAAAACTAAATCATGTAGTTTTAAATTCATTTTTTATTAAGACCTAAGTTTTTTTAAAGTTGTATGAGACTAGCAGATGTAATAGTTAGTGAGAAGCAGTGTATAGAAGTGAACTTGAAATTTTGAGATACGAAATTTCTAGTTTTGATTGTGAATCAGTGGGTAACTGTCCTTGACCATCATCAATGTATTTAGTATGCTTCGATATCACTCATTGTCCAGTGCGAAGTTTAAGATCAAAATTGAGAAATGAAATTTTGATGCAGACTAGGAATATAGTTTCAAATCGTTTTTTCTCGAACATTCAAACCATAAAACTCGATTAAAAAAAACCTAGTTTCAAGTCTAATACATTTATTCATGATCTTATCATATTAATAATAAATTCTATTAATAATAACTTTTTATGATGATTAAATACAAACTAAAGAATAATTTACCATAAGTAGGATTATTTTTAGTTACGGTTTTTTTCAGTGAGACTACAATAGATGAAGATTGTTCACTAGAAATAAGTTTTGTTTCATTTGTCTAAACAAAGAAAAATCAATTAGCAAATGAATAAAACTATTTTTTTCCAATTTCATTTAATTACTTTAAATTGTTGTACAATAGTTGGCAGAAATTTTTTTTTCAATTGTACTGACGATAAATCATCCGAACATGATGATTTAACTCGTTTTAAAGATAAACGTTTTTGATTAGTATTTGAACATTCTTTAGATATTATTGAACTATTTATTGATGATTTATTTAATGATTTTGATAAAATAGAACCTTGTATAAATGGATTTCCTTTTGGTACATTTGTTATTTTATATGAATAATTTTGTATAAGTTTATTATATGATGAAAGATAATTTAAACATAAATTAGCACATGTTCTATTTTGATGTTGACATGTAGGAAATATATGTCGATATTGTTCTTGTTTTATATGATGAATTTTTTTTGCTAATTGTTTATCAATAAGTCCAAAATATGATGCTTGTTTTGATAATAAAAATTTAATTGATTCAATATCATTATTATTATTATTATCATTATTTATAGTTAAATTTTGTTCAACTTGTAAAATAATATCATAAAGAATATTTTGACATATTTTATATTCATATTGTTCATGTTTATTTAATAAATGATATTTTAAGGTTTTTGAACATGGAAATGATAATAAACATTGTTGACATTGAAATAATTTTGATGAAAAATTACCTAATGGTAAACGTTTATGTTCACATGCATTTTTAGCTATAAATGGAAATTGTTTTGTTGAAAAAGCAATAACTAAATATGATGATATATAACTATAATCAGGTAAATTCTCTTGAGAATAAATTAAATGTAAACGTTGTTGATGATTTTTAAGTGCACGATGTGTACGAAATTTTATATTACAATCAGAACATATTATGGATTGATTTGGATGAGACATATTTATATGATAATTAAGTCCGTAATCACAAACAAAAATTTTTAAACATTGTTTACATATATAAGAAAATGATATCGAATGATTTTTGTTTAGATTATTATTATTATTAGCTTCTTTTATTATCGACTAGAATTTAATAATAATAAGATTTTATATTATTATTAAATAATCATTACATACTTCTGTATTTAAATAATGATGATTTTCAACAGATAATAATGTATTTTCATTAAATGATAAAAATCGATTCAATGTTGATTTTTTTTTAAATTGTTCATTATCATCTTTACTAATTGAACGTAAGGAAACATTCATGACGATAAAAATATTGTTGATGAACGGTCATTGGAAAAAAAGCCTATATATATGTGTGTGTAATATGCAGAATCTATTCAAACAAAAGACAAGACATGAACAAACATAGCAAATAGAAATAGACATGATTATGATTACAGAAAAAAGAAACAAAGAATTGAACTTAGAGAATTTGAAAAAAAGAATAAGATCATGACTTTTTTTTTTGTTTTTTGCTCTGAACCTGGATACGACATCTGCCGTCGACCTCATCTCATCAAACATATTGGAAAGAAGAAAAAGAAGAAGAAGAAGAAAAAAAAATTAATGCTAATGCATAAAACAGAAATTACTTTAAACTCAATATGATTTCCATCATTGCTTGTTAACATGATGGATAATCTTATTTGATTCTATCATTTTTTCTTATCAATAACTTTAGCTAGTATCTGTCGAGAAAAACAATCATATGATATAAATATAAGTTAAATAAGGAATAAAAAATGTAAATAGAAATGACATATAAACAATAGAATGAACATTCTTTCATAATTCGCTCAAATGTATACATCCGCCAATGAATGATGATGATGAATTCTGTATATCTATATACCTGATTAGAATGTGAAATGTCTTTAAATATATGACTTTTTTTCGAATATTGTATTAACACACAATGAAATTTTCAAATAGAATCAATATATATTAATATATTAAAATATCATACAATGAAATAAATAATTTATATCAATCAATAATCGTTATCGTTTCAGTCGCCATATTGCTTTTTTTGTCTACTGTACCTCAATAATGACGCTGCGTCACATTACAACGAAGCAAGCAAACGGACAGGCAAACAGACTGTTGACACTGTCATATTCCTCTTGTTTCTTTTAACATAGCATAAATCTCATGCTTTATTAAAGAAATTATGGTTCATTCAAAATTCTACACTATTATTAAGATATTACTATAGCAATACTAATCATTAATCGCATGCATATTTTATATTGAGGACATAAATATGTAGCTAGTGTTGGATTTTTTTTTTGATAGTTATTTTATTTTTTTTTAACAATACAAACAACAACTTGAAAACTTTTACATAAAATCCTCATCATCAAAATCATTATCCTGGTCATAATCCTGATCACCTTCAACACCAAAAGCACCATAGTCTGCTCGTCGACCAGTTGTTAGTTTTGGTTTATTTTGTTTTTTAGTTTTTGATTTAGCTTTTTTCTCACGTTCTTCACTTTGTTTACGTAAATATATTGCTTGTAATGTTGCTTGCAAATGTTTAATATTTTCAATTGACATCGATTTTGTTATACCATTAAGAAAATGATCAATAAATTCAGTATAAAATTCTGATTTTGATAATGTTTCAAGACGATTATGTAAACGAAAACTATAATTAAGAAATTCTTCTTTTGTTAATAAATTAAAATCATCTAATGTATGATATTCATCATTATTTTCAACTAATTCAGATGCCATATTTAATTTATCTTGTTCTTTTTGTAATTCACCTTTTTTTTGTATTTCATCAAGTTCTTCTGGCGTATAGTCTCCATCAGGTTCTTTTATAAGAAGTTTATTAGATTCTTCGTTATCATTCAATTTTTTTCTATTTGTCTTATGTTTAGCTGTTGATACTGTTTTTGTTGATTCTTTTGGTTTTTCTTCGACAACTGGTTTTTTAGGCTAAAGAAAAATAATATTTCTAAATAATCAAAGAAATTTATCAGTCAATTAAAACAAACTTTTTCTTCTAATTCAGCTTCCCAATCTTCGGGAATTTCATCATCACCTTTTACTTCAGCACTTGCTATACTGTTATCTTGCCAATGATCAGTCATTATTATTAAAATAAAATACGAAATTTCAAATCTACAATACCAAATCATATAAATATGCAAGAATATATAGTTAAATACAATCATGTAGAAACTTATATGTAGTTTAACTTAATGTAAAATATTTTCTTTATTTTATCATATTGTTCTCTAAAAGTCTTATAGAAAAATGTAGTTTTCCATACTCGATTCTATTTAATGGATTATACTTGATGTGAAACAAAAGCACAAAAAAAAGCAAAATAAAAATGAATTATTATGGCAATATTGTAATCTGAATAATAGTCCTTCTTGAAGAATCTTTTTGTTTTCCAAGGAAATTTTCGGCAGAATAATGTCCTGATCGACCCTCGTTTTTTGAGATTGGCTATTCAGATATATTCGTTGGTTTAAAGAACTGAGTAGTTAACTGATGTCGCTGTATGTCGGCTGAAATATTAAAATAAAAAATATCATATTTTATCTATCAGATTAAAAATCAACTTATAGACTAATTTCACAAGTTTCTTGCTTTTGGAATTTGACCGTGAGAAAATAGACATTCTGTTAATAAAAAATAAAAACGATAAAGATATTCATATCATGCCGTTTTTATCGTATATTACGTTCTACAATCAAATTGTATTTAATTGAGACAATCATAGAATGATCGGAAAGTTAACTGATGAGATGTGTAATTTGGTTCTACTTTTATCTCAATATCAAAGTTCCAATTTTTCAGTTCGAACAGTCTATAAAATAAATATTTCAGCAAAATAGAACGTAGATATTTTTTTAAGCGTAGGTGCATTTGTTATCAATCAACAAGAACAAATTTAAAAAACTAATATTATTGGATAAAATCGATATGAGAATTAAACCATCTGGAGATAAAGTCCACTCATAAGACTATAAATGGTAGTAAATTTGTATTTAAGTAACTGCTTTCTTAAAGCTCTTCTGATCCTTTTCCGTGATTTCTAAAAGGTAAGATAACGATATTAAAATAAAAACATTTTTTGAATATTTGACAATCATTTAGACAAATACACGAAAAATGAAATTTCTTATCTGCTTATTTATTACTCTTGGTGTTGCCTGTGGTAGTATTTTACGTAAGTTAATTAAATAAAATATCAATGTTAAAACTATTTTCACTATGATTTCATTTTTTAAATAGCACTCAGACCAAACTGTCTCCATACTTTCTGTACGATGGATATTAAGATTTGTCCTGATGGTACACGGGCTCCAATTCCAGCCGGTGGATGCTGTCCATCATTGAGTGCTTGCAAACCAAATATTCATCCAATTAAACGTATGTTAATCTATAGATTTTGCAATAAACGTTTCTCCAAAATCGAAGATTCCTCTAGAAAGATCGATGTAAAAGACGTATTAGTAGTCCTTGAGTTTCTATTGTGTTCAGACAACTTCGCAGATGCTGTAAAGTTACTCTTGGTCAGGCGTCATCTGCATATCAAGTATATTTCTTCGAACGTTAAATACTCATAATTAAGAATAAGCTCTAGAAACTGTTTTCATTTTCCATCAACGTCTATGATCATGATCACTAGATACTCTGTAACTGCTACTTTGCCTGAGAACAGGTATTCTAGCATCATCACAGATTAACAAATGGATATTTTAGTCGTACTAGAAGCTTCGGAGGCCTTCTATTGGAATGAGGAGTCTATATTCTCGTGTTTATTATAATTCTTTTGTTATAGCCATTACAAATTGTGCTTTCGTTATGTGTACCATGGATCTTAAAATTTGTCCTGATGGTAGACCCGCTCCAGTACCAGCCGGTGAATGTTGTCCAAGTCTTTCTGCTTGTAACGGACCTAGTAAGTATCATGTACACATTATAAAATATAAATCAAATATTATCAACTGTTTTTTTAATAGCCATAAGTCGCCGAAGCAATCCATTAGGTTCACTTCTTTCTGGTAGCAATATTTTACAAACATTGACCAGTGCTACACATGGTACTAACTTGGGAACAGCTATATCAATTTTGAACTTACTTAATAATGTTCATCTATTATCAAGTGATGTATGTTGAGATTTTAATGAGATATTTAAAAACAAAACAGAATATTATTCTTAGGTTCATCAAATTCCTCATTTGATCAATCAAACACTCACTAGCATTCTCAATGGAACAGGTCAAGCTAGTCAACTCATTATTGATCAATTGATTGGTGCTGTTTCCAGTGTTACTAATCAAAGTAAATCATCAGATTTAACAATGAATTTTTATTTTTTATTTATTTATTTATTTAAATAATAGATAGTGCTAGCCGAAATCTTTTGGGTGCTCTTGGTCAAAATACAAATTTACTTTCAAGCATTACTCATATGTTACCACAAGGTACATCAATTTCGTCTATTCTTTCCATTCTCAATTTATTGAACAATGTTAACCAACTTAATCATGATATTCATCAAATTCCTGCTTTACTTAATCAAACTTTAGCTAGTGTTGTTGCTGGTGCTGGTCAAGCTGGTGATGTCATTGTTCAGCAATTGCTTAGTCTTGTTGGTCCTCATTGTAAGTTATATTTATATATGCTTTTCTTTTTTTTTTCAAAATAACAATCGAACTTTTGATTTTTCTTATAGCTGGTACAAGCCGAAATCTTTTGGGTGCTCTTGGTCAAAATACAAATTTACTTTCAAGCATTACTCATATGTTACCACAAGGCACATCAATTTCGAGCATTCTTTCCATTCTTAATTTATTGAACAATGTTAATCAACTTAATCATGATATTCATCAAATTCCTACTTTACTTAATGAAACATTAGCTGGTCTTGTTAATGGTGCTGGTCAAGCTGGTCAACTTGTTGTTCAACAATTACTTAACCTTGTTGGAGCTCAACCACAAGGTATAATTTGATCATTTTTCTTTTTCTTTTTTTATCGATTATTATAAATATAATTCAAATTTCAATTGATTTTAGCTACTGGCCGTAATCTTTTGGATTCACTTGGTCACAATGCTAATTTATTGTCAAGTGTCTCACATCTTTTACCACAAGGTACATCAATTTCAACAGTTCTTTCATTGTTAAATTTATTGGGCAATGTTAATGCTCTTAACACTGATCTTCATCAAATTCCAACTGTCCTTCAAGAAACACTTCAAAGTCTTCTTAATGGTATTCAAAATCTTGTACCACCAACAATTCAACCAGTTCAAGGATCATCGTAAAAGAAATACATTCTGTATGGTCATTTTTGAATCGAAATAAATTTATTTCAAAATAAATCAAGTTTTTTTTTTGTCTCAAACAGTTTCTATAAGTTGCTTTGATGAAATAAAAGAAAGTCTAGATCATATCTGTTATATTCTTTGAATAATTAGTTGCGACAGTTGAGATTGTTCAATTTCAATTGAAATAGTTCTCCATAATATTAATGACTTCAATGAAATGACAGAAATTTCTCATAAGATATTAAAAAGAGACTAGTCTCGAATGTGTTTAATATTCTAACAGATGTCGTAAGTCAACAACTAAGGAAATGAATTCTTAAATTCTATAATTATTAACATGAATGATTATTTTTTAATTTCATATAAAAATCTAATTGTAAAAAGTGTTCTACTAGATTTGAAAATGATTTTATTGGATTATTGTTCGTTTGTTTCTTTCACCAATGACGAAATTCTCCTTTTGTCTATCTATCATTGTTCATGTATATGTTCAACCGCAATTGTTTCATTTCATTTTATAATTCTGGCTTCTAGAAGGTAGGTGATTTCGATCAACATGTGATGTACGATTCAAATAGATGACATTGTTTTTTTATCATAAAGAGTTTTTTCAATATTAAAGAATTAATTTTCTAGATGCCTTCGGATATCGTTATCGATAGTGCTCGTTGTCTCGAACGTATTCGAAGACTTTATTCAACATGGCGAGTAAGTAAAATTATTCATAAGAGAGAAAGAAAAAACAACATGTTTTTCTCTTCTATTCATTTTTTTAGAATAATGATGGAGCTGATAGTTCGATCAATGACAATGCTATATTGCATTCTGTTGATGCTATTGTGATAATACGAGGACAAAAAGAGGATGATTTTACTTATAGTAAAAGTGCTGCTATGCAGGTTTATTCTTTAATCTTTTTTATATTTTAATTATCTAATACGATTTTTTTTTTGATAGACATGGTTATTTGGTTATGAAATGCATGATGTTCTTGTTGTATTTTGTCAAGATTCAGTTATTATATATGCTGGTGCAAAAAAAATAAATTATCTTAAACAAGTAAATATATACATATATTTTCATTATTTGAATAGATTAATTTATATTTTATTTAGATTGAAAGTGAACATAATAATAAAGAAAATGCACCACGAAATTTTAATTTTATAACACGTAAAGAGAATGATGAAAAAAATTTTGATGAAATTATTAAACAAATTAAAATGAGTCATCAAGGAAAAATATTAGGTGTGTTTTCTAAAGATAAAATGGAAGGACCATTTTGTGAACAATGGCAAAATTGTTTAAATCAACATTCACTGACAACAGTAGAATATGTTTTTTTTTTACTTTAAATCTAATAGTTTATTAATCAAAAAATATTATTTTTAGGTTGATATAAGTAATTCTATTGGTTATTTACTTGCTGTTAAAGATAATGATGAACTTAGTTTAATTCGTAAAGCATGTGAAATAACTGGAAAACTTTATAGTAAACATTTAAAAGATCAAATTATAAATATAGTGGATTCTGAAAGAGTATGGAAAAAACCAAGAGATTTTTATTTTTATTTTTTTGAATTTATTTTTCTCTTAGAAAGTTAAACATTCGAAATTATCTGAAGGACTTGAATCAGCATTAAATGATGAAAAATATGTTTCAAATGTAGATGCAAATTATGTTGAAATGTGTTATCCAGCTATTGTACAAAGCGGAGGCAATTATAATCTCAAATTTAGTGCGACTGTGTAAGAGAATAAAAATAATAATAAAATGAACAAAAAATAAATTTTGTTTGGGATGTCAGAATCTCGGTCCAACTTTGCCTCATTAATCTCTATAAAAAGACTTAATTCTATGAATAGTTGGTACACGCCATAGTACTACCAAGGGAAGTGACACCCGCCATTTGATTCTTCAGTAAATATCTAAAGCTGAACGGAAAATTCAATAAAATGGTGTTAACTCGACTCGAGACGATTATGGGCACGAACCGTTTTAGAATTTTTGCTAGTCTTATCAAGACCTTCTTGTAAATCCTATATGAGCTCAAACGATGGATATCACTTCGGGTAGTTCATTCGTTAGTAGTACGCATTTAGATCAAATAACAGTACCAAGGTTGTGTTTACCAAGATGACATTATGATAAGCAAAATGTGTTTAGCTCATATTATAGTTATAGCATTCTGGTCAGCACATTGCATTTCGAGAGATGTCACTATGTGTCAGTAGACGAATAGTGCTATATGCATTGCGTAGTTGAAATGCTTCAGTTGGAGACATTAGTTATTCAATCAGTAGTTTGATTACCGAGCAAACTATTTGGAAATCCACAATACCAAGAATGAGCTGGCTACTACGAGTTTTATAGAGTACAAGTCAGTAGTTTGCGGGAATTATTAGGATTTTTCTATAAGTCCGGTTATATATGATATTAACAAACGAAAGAAAGTTGACTGAAGGCAGGTACCTAGCCGGAGATAAAGGCTGACTCTTCAGAACTATGGCTCTCAGTTGATACAGTTATAATGTATTATATGCTGTTAACAGATAAGTTCGATGGGTGTCAATAAATGCCGGTAGTCCATCGTACAAGTGCATACTTGTATATGTCCAGTTCTGTGAGCTACTATATATATGTACTCGATGAATTATGTTATCTTCCTAAGACTAGAGACTGTACCAACTATTCATAGGAATAAGACTTTCATTGGCAACTAATGAGGTAAACTTGGGTCGGAGTCGGAATTCGTGTAATCTATTTTATGAATTTATTTAGTGATAAAAATCCACTTCATTATGGTGGTTCATCAATTATATGTGCATTTGGTATTCGTTTTAAATCATATTGTTCAAATCTTGTTCGTACACTTTTGGTTAATCCATCAGAAGAAATGAAAAATACTTATCAATTTTTACTTGATTGTGAAGAAGTTATTTTACGTGAACTTAAACATGGTATAGAGAAACAAAATGATTTATTTTTTGTTATAGTCTAAAATATTGATTATAAATTGTTTTTGTTTTTTCAAAGATGCTCTATTATGTGATGTTTACAAGAAGGTACGAGAAAAAGTTGAAAATGAACGACCAGAATTTCTTAATAAAATGACAAATAATTTAGGGTTTGTTTTAATTGAATGAAAAATATTTACACGTATATATATATATATATATATTATTTTATAGAACGGCATTAGGTATTGAATTTCGAGAAAGTACTATTGCTATAACAAGTAAATGTGCAGTACGAGCAAAGAAAGGTAAATATGAAAAATAAAGAATAAGATTTTTATAAAATGTTACTTAATTATCTTTCAATAGGAATGACATTTCAAATAAGTATTGGTATTTCTGGTTTGGAAAATCCTGATGGAATAGATGAACAATCAAAAACTTATGCCTTATTTATTGGTGATACAATTGTTGTTAATGAGGTAAACAAATATGAATAATGTATATCATAAATTTTTGTTGTTGAAATATTTTAGAATGAATCTTGTACAATCTATACATCATCAAAAAAAGATATTAGTCATATTGCTATTATTTTAAAAGATGATGGTACACAAGAAGGTGATGTTGATGAAACACCTGCAATAGCACCACGACGTGGAGTTGTAGAAAAAGCTCGAGTAAAAAAAAATTTTATAGATTTTTCAAAATTTTCTTATTTGTATAATTAAAGATTGATCCATCTGTACCTGAAAAAACACGTCAAGAATATCAAAAAACATTATTACGTAAATTAAATGGACGTGCTGAAGCTCGTCTAACATCACAAGGTGATAAAGTATCAGCAGAAAAGTAAATGTTATTGTGACAAATTGAAATAAAAAACAAATACTTGTATATTTTATTTAGAGCTCGTAAAATAAATAATTCATATAAATCAGAAGGACAATTACCACAAGATCCTGATATTCAAGATGTTAAGCTTTATATGGGTAAGAGTCATAGAAAATAAAAAATAAATTATTGCAAAGAAACTTTTTTTTTTTTTTTTAATTATTTTGTAGATAAACGATATGAAACACTTATTTTACCAATAAATGGAACACCAACACCATTTCATATTTCAACAATTAAAGTAAATTAAAAATTAAATATTAATTTAATTTAAAATATTAAATATTAAATTTTATTTAGAATGTTTCCTTAGCTGTCGAAGGTGAATATATTTATTTACGTATAAATTTTTTTCATCCAGGTGGTATTGGTAAACAAGCTGATACAATTGATAAAGAAAATGTTTATATTAAAGAATTGTAAGGGAAAAAAAATACTAAATTTGATATTTTTTTTTTTTGTAATTTCAATAAATAAATCATTTTCTAGAACATATCGTGCATCAAATGATAAAAAAGATGATGTTGTACCAGCATCAAATAATCTTTCACATATTCACAAATTAATTCTTGAAATACAAAAGAAATTTAAAGATCAAGAACAAGAACGAAAACAAATGGAGGTATGTTTAAACATTGATTTTGTTTTTTTTTTTTGTTGTGAAACACAATCTAAACAGAGTATTGAAGCATAGAGGTAGAAAACCACCCAGGAGTGATGTTTATAACACTTTCGTAGGATAGCATGAGCAATGCATGGTCAAATTTTTAGGTGAAGAAATAAAGCTTTAAGTGAGTTCATTTCATTACCCTCTTACAATTGACATAAACGCCATACAACTATTAGAAAGAATATTAAGGTTAAAACTATTGATGTAAACAAGTTTTTGTACGTTTGTTTTCATTGATCAGAAATTGAGAATATGTTTTTCTGAAAAAAAACTGACGAATGAATGGTTTCTTTGTAGCTTTCGACGACTTTCTTTCTGAATTCTTTTCCTTCTTAAGCCGTACAAAACGAAAGCTATGAACGATTTCGATTTAGAGAAAACTATTCTAGAATTTATTCGTATCACATCTAAAATAATTCTCCAACACTTTATTCTTGATTGATGTTCAGATTGATAAGATAATTTGCTTAAAATC